ACTGACTTAGAACTCCTTCATAGACTAGGCTGGCCTTGAACTCACAGAGCTCTGCCTACTCTGCTTCCCAGTACTGGGTTAAAGACCTGTGCTACCGTAGAGTTTTGAGGAGGACAAAGGGGGGAGAGAGAGTAGAAACTGCAGACTGCGGTTGATCAGCTGATGCAGTTTCTCTGTCTCTCATTTGTGTTTTTAGACCAGCTTGTACAGAGCGAGTACAAACGTGCTCAGCCTCCTTACCCTTTTCCGTTCTTTTCTGTGTCCATGCCCTGCAGGCCATGGGCGTATACCTCTATGGGGAGCTGATGGTGGGCGAGGACGCCAGGCAGCAGCAGCTTGCCCACAGGTGCTTTGAGCTGGTGAAGGAACACATGGACAGAGCCTCAGCCCAGGTGGTGTCTGAAATGCTGTTTTAAAGAGGTAATTCTCTCTTTCCTTTCCTCTCCCAACCATCCTAGTCAGTTTGTAAGCACGTGATGAGCCAAGACCACCACAGCACCAGAAATCCTAGTAAGGGCTGCCAGTGGGTCTTGGGACAGGAAGGCTCAGGATCCCTGGAGCCACCTCATTTACCTCCTGGAATTATGTATGCACCGGTGTGAAACAGAGCGCCCTCCTGAAAGCGTAAGGGCCCCTCCGGTACTACTTTCTCCACCTTGGGTCTTGCACGGATCTGTAGACATTCAGGGTCAAGGCCAGCACAGGGTTCTATACCACACTACTCTGCTCCAAGCTTCTGCTTGCAGGCATCTCCTAGGCTTAGTAAACCTGAGACTCCTTTGCCTCTGTCCTCCTGTGAAGTAGGAAGCAAGAGTATTCCTGCCCGCCCCCCAGCTCAGTGACATTTGTGTGAGGTGGGCAGCAGGTGTCCCCCCACCCCATGACTTGTGTTTCCATCTCCTGCTGGCGCAGGCTTTGCTCCAGCTCCTGAGGTCTTGGCTGTGTGACATACCTCCTCCGTAGCCACAAAGCACGGTGTTCTGTGGGCAGAAGTGTGGGTCTGTATGTGTCTCTCACAGCCATGCTACCATCTTCTCCAAGTTTCCTCATGGCGGTACATGATGTAATGTCTACTTTGGTGTGTTTTTTAAATTTTGCATCAGATCTCAATCATTGTTTGTGTTACTTGTTCTCTGTGATTTCTAAGTAATGAATATTTAGAATTGTGGTGCTAGTCTTAACCCATTGTTGGATATTTCATTTACATTCTCCCATTTTGCTTTTACAAAGTCCACTTCTGTGTAGTATGTTTGAGTATTCTGCTTGTCTGAATGGACTATAAGTATGAAGGGGAAACAGTTTCCTGAAGCACGACCATGTTCTTGCAGAAGTGGGGGGGCATCATAGTCAGGCTTGGAGATAGTGGGGTGCAGTGAGTAACTGTGCAGCCCCCTGAGCCAGCGCACCAATGATGGATTGAGCTGTTTCCCTGGAAACCTTTACCCACAGGAAGAGTTGTGCATATGGTGGTGTGAAAATCACTGTGAGGCCCCTGTCCTGCTCCACATTCTCTTGGCCTCAGTCACACAGTGGTTCTCGTGTCTCTTCCTTGTGATTTTTTTCTGGGCCCCCAAGCAGGCAAAGGAGTTATCACCAATCGTCAGCTCCCCTGTGAACTCTCTGCTGTCCCCCAGTCCCTCCAGTTGAATGCTTGGTCATAGCGCTGGAGACTGAGGATGGGCAAGAGCTGTCCCTGCAAACCACACCTGTCAGAGCAACGCTTGCTCACCTGGAAGCCGTTCAGAGTCTGCAGCCTGGGAGCAGGCTGTGTCCCCAGAGTTTAAGGCTCCTTGCTCAGAGTGAGGGTGGTCACACAGCTGATAAGATGCGTCCTTTGTTGCCTGTTCCCCTAGCAGGCTGAACAGCGGCAGCTGCGCTAGCGCATGGGGCTCCGAGGCAGTGAGGAGGACGTCCGCCCAGTGTCGTGGATGGGAGTGGTAGGGCACGGCGCTGCCCTCAGCTGCTCTGGCTGCTTGGGTTCCTGGCATGCTGATTTGTGACTTGAGATTAAAATCACATTGCCAGGGATTACCACGCAACCATGACCTTGGCTGCTTCTGCAGAACCGTGGCTACTTTCTCTCTGCAGTTCGGAGACCAGAGGCCCCTTGTGGCTCTTTGGAAACAAAAGAAGCCAACAACCTCGAAGACCTCGGCAGCCCTTTAATTGTGGCCGGCGATGACCTCTCTAACAAGGTGCAGAGCTTAGCTGATTGGTGAACAGTGATTGGTTTCCGCTTTGTTCACAGTGGCTAAGTTCTGCACCTGAAGAGAAGGTGAGATGGGGACACTTAAGGTGCAGCCGAGAGAGGCCACACTGGTGGTCAGCTTGTGTGGACCCAGATTCCAGAGGAGAGACCAGCCTGACCCAAGGGTGCTGTCAAGAGCAAAAGCAGTGTGTTGACCGCCCTTAAGTGTGTCTACAGAAAACAGATCCACTGAGTAGCTCACTGTAATGTCACATACCTTAGCAGTCATGGAAAACTAAACCCGGGTGCATCACAAAGTTGAATCAAACGTGTCTCAGCCAGTGCCACGCGTGAGGGAGGGCTCTGTTGTTCTGCTGGACATGGTGAACTCTGTCTTGTATTTGCAGTCCAGGTCTCCATGTGTCCACAGCCGCTGGCAGGAAGATGCTGAGGCCCAGCAGGAGGCACTGCCCCGCCGTCATTGGACCCGCCCTCCGGTGCCTACTGAGCTGATATCAGTTCATTTCACACACTGGCTCAGTTCAGCAGGAACAGGAGTCGAGCCCTTGAGCAGGTGCCTGAGGCAGGCCTCCCTCAGAGAAGAAGAAGAAGGGCCTGAGTCCCAGACCCGGAGAGCAGTGGTATCCCTCTGTATGTGCTCCTGGGGTGGGGATCCAAGGAGCGCAGAACTGGTTCTGGGAAGCCAAGCGTTTGTCCTGTGGTTGAGGCTCCCTGCCACCGACTGAGTTGAGCCCTCTGAAGCAGTGAGAATACATCATGGTCGGAGGGGCTCTTTCTGTAGCCACCTTGTCACGTTGCTCCCTGGGCTCCACAGCCCTGTGTGGCCCATGGTGTGGCTGTGCACCCTAGGTCTAGGATTGTGAAGTGTGGCTCCACTCATGTCCCGGTCCTCCCACGAAAGCTCCCTCTCAAGTGGAGGGCATAGGTGGGGGGAACTCCTGTCAGGAATGACCGAGGTGACTGGATAATAAAGTTTATTGCTGTTTTCTTCGCAGGACAGATCACAGTGAGACTCTCTTTCCTATGCCTCCTCCTAGCCCCCGTGGGGCCAGGACTGCACTGACCCTGGACATCAAAGGGAGGATCATGTGGCTGCTAAAGCCATCAGCCGACAGCAGCGGTCACTCACTTGCATCTTGGGCTCCCGTGGCATGTATAAAAGGCACATATAAAGCCTCATAAACTGTTGCACCTGGCTGCTGCCTTTGTTCCCGGGCCTGGAAAGACTGAGCTGTGACTTGAAGTTGTTCAGAGAGTGAAGATCCTTCCCTAGGCAGATGGAGAACCCCGGCTGCTTGCTGCCATGGTCTGAGATGACAGCTTCACGTGACACCTTCTGTGGCTAGTCCCCAGGGATTCCACAGAGTCCTTTTGATGTGTTCACTCAATAGAACCTTTCTGTTTTTGGAGAATACAGGAAAGCCTAAGATGTCTTAATAAAGTATCGGATTTGCTGGTATTCCTGTTTGCTTCTGAATTTGATGCAACTTAAAACCAGGAGCGAGCATGTGTCAGGATAGGCACTTCCCACATATTCTAACCCTTTCCTGCCTCCAGAGCTTTGGGGAGGCCTCCAGGTGCTGTTAATTCTGAGAAAGCTGAAAGTAAAAGGAATTAATGTGGTATGGGACTCAACTCTTCCAAAATGTGCGTCTCGGGCAGTCTGGCACTATGGGAGTCGCCGGTGAGACCATATTTTCTTTCCTTTGAATATTAACATATCGAACAAGCTCTTAGAAGTTTCCAGTTCCTGTCCAAAGGAAGATGCTTGAGACTGCCGTGGGTGCAGTCACATGTGCCCGGACCAGGCTGAGCCATGTGAGAAAGAACCGGAAGGAGAGTTTCTGCTGCCTGTCTGGGTTCTGCATTCAGGCCTGCTGGGGCAGGAGGCCCCAGGACACACTGAGAGAAGTGTTGGTTGGCAAAGAACTCTTGGTCTTGAGAGCCTGGGTCATACCAGTGGCTGCACTGTGTATTGTGATAGCAGAAGAATCAAAATGTGTCCAATCCAACGTGATAGTGCACTGCTTTCTGTGAGGACCTGAAATAAGAGGCCGAGTCTGTGGCTGCCTGGCTAGAGGTGGAGTGGGGACCACACACCCACAGGGCCCTTCTGTAAGAACCTCAACATGAAACATTCTCTATGTCCAGTGAACTAGGGGTGACCAGCCAAGTACTGGTTTGGTCTGCTTTTGTTCTTTGAGTTCCTTAGCAACCACTAAAGCAAAGCAGAGGTGGAATTTTGTCGGGGGGCAAGTGCCCTTGTCTCCGTGGGTCATTTTGATTGCTTGGGTTCTTTGCAATGGCTTCAGGTCAGTGGAAGCATCATGAACTGGACGCCTGTGTCACAAATTCAGTGGAGGATCTGTGGTAGAGCTGGCCTTTGCCATCTACGGACAGACACAGAGCAGCCCTGCCCCCAAAGTAGGCAGCAGCTTCTGCCCTGCATAACTGTAGCAGAGGTTTGGAAGGCTTCCCTCACTTGGCCGAGACTCCTGGATTCAAGAAGGGTGTATTCTTACATGAGTCACCTGACCTCACAGTACCCAGAGCGGTGCATCTTTAGCCTCTGTCAATAGGATGTAGACCAGGGTTTGAGTGAGGAAGAATGGCCAGGGTGCTTGATACCGCCACAGAGGCGCCTCATCCAAGCAGGAGCTCTCCCTACTGCATATGGTCCAGTTTGAATGAGTTGCTGGTGGGGGAAGATGTGGACAGTCACCCCGGGCGCCTGCTGCTGAAATCAGATGTGGGCCCGAGTGAAATCACAGGTAAGACATGGACTAGATCACTGGGTCCGTGTTTGCTGTGTGCCACGGTGTGGAGCACCCCACGGTGTGAGCTCTTGGTCTTCAGAGCAGAGCGTTTGATGCCCTGCCCCACCACTCAGCTGCAGGGGCTTAGAACCGTCCCTCCCACCGCACAGATATGAGCTTGAGCCTGTGCTGCAAACCTTGGAAGCCTGGGCTTGAGTCTGCTTTCTAAGTATGGGAAGGACAGAGACTGTGCTTCATGACCAGGCATGCTTGTTGCTGCACAATTTCCAAGCCATTTTCCAGCCGTTCCTGGAGGAACCCAGGGTTTCCCCCTGGTACCTCGGGCTTGAAACATCAGCCCTAAGAATAGGCTCCTGGTAAAGATGCCAGCTTCTCACTCTTAGGCCAAGGGTAAGATATAACCTAACAGGAGCAAACCACCATGCCAACAGGCTGATGCCAGCAGTAGGCAGAGGGGCTGTGACCAGAGGATCCTTGTGGGCTCACTGCCAAGAGGTGGGTGGGATAGCAGGAACACTAGTCTCTTCTGTCTGTCACCAAGCAGATGCCCATCACTAGAGAACAACAGACCAGAGCTGTGCCAGCCTGTCCTCACAGAGACCACCCCTGACCTGGCTGCCTTTCCCTCCAGTAGCTAAGCAGCCTAACCGTCACACCGTCTCTCCTCCAGACGAGTGCTTTAAACCATGTCATCTGCAGAGACTTCCAGCATGGATTAGGACAGGCCTCAGTAAGTCGTGGCCAGTGCGAGACAGGTTCTGCCTGGCTCAAGTAGCCTGGTCTGCAGGAAGACGGCACATCTGGTTCCCTGCGTGGGGAGAAAGCAGCAGTGTGTGCTGTCCCTCTACATACCCTGAAGCATGTCCTCACCACACCCTGATTGGTGGAGGAGAAGTGAACCCCAGGAAGGGTCGGGCTCCCTGGCTGGTAGCCCCCTACCTATAGTGGCTCCTACCACCCTGTCTGTGGGGCTTTGGGCCACAGCCATGGGAAAGGAACTGGGAATTCTGACTGGACTCGGACAGGAAGGGAAGGGAGGAGGGTTGGGAAAGTCTCAGAAAGGACTCTGGGTTCTCTCTCTCAGCTGCTCCTGTAGAATTAGAAGATTTTGAAGCATTTATTTTTAATGGAATTTGCATCAAAAGAATGAAATGATGATATCCTACCAAGTCATCCTTGCTCGTGGTAAGCAGAAATGGCATGGCTGTTTCTAAACTTGAGCCATCCCTTTCAACTGCAGAGAAGGCTCAGCAGGATCCATTCCAGGCCAGTGCCCCGTTCCTACCAGCGTCTCTCCTGACCATGGTTCAGCAGGACATGGCCGCACAAGCCCGGTGGGCAGCCACAAGCGCTGCTGTGATGTGCACATAGGGACCTCTGTCCTCCACAGCATTGCCTTTGTCACGGCTGTCTCTCCAAAGCAGCCAGCTCTTGCCCAGTGAGCAGCAGAAAGCGTGCTCAGGAGCTTGGGATCGGAAGACCGGAAGGACTCCTGTGCAGGCCTCATGCTCCAGTTCAGCTCACCACCAGGTGGGTTGTGGACAGAGCCAGCCAGCGGAGGAGCACAGCCTGCCACAGCCATGCCGCCCATGCAGACCTGGGTGGGTGCTGGGCTTGTGGCCTTGGCTGGCCTACACCCTGGGTGGTTGGGCTGCCATACCTATTCCCAAGGTACAGGGATGTGCTGCCCACTGGGGCTTAGCATTGGCTTTAAAATCTTTGTTGTTAGCCCCTTAGAACGCTCCCTCCCTGGGACATTTCAGTCTTAGCCACCAAATTCAAAAGAGCCATCAAGGTGGTAGCAGCCCTCAAATGGAGAGAGCCCCTGGAATAGCCTAGCCCCATCACAGCTCTGGGGCTCCCAGGGCTGGGGGTTGGGAGCTGCCTCATCCTCCCAGGGAAGGCTGCAGAGAGTAGTCTCAGTGAGGGCTGTGAAGTCAAGGCAGCCATAGTGAAACCGGTCCCCTAGCCGGTCTGTGGGGTTTACGAGGTGGGAGGGGGAGCAGCCCTGCTATTCAGGGCAAGGTTTTATAGCCCCCTCCCACCCATTGGTACTATCTGCGAGATTGATGGACTAATAAGGCTGTTCTCTTCCAGCCCAGTGACCAGACAGTATGAAAAGGAAGGTGACCACGTGCAAGCTGGGGAAGTTTCGCAGGACAGGGTGGGCTGCCAAGAACCTTGCCTCTTGGCACTGGTGTGTGTCCAGCATCCCTTGGCTGGGATGCTGTAGCTCTAATGGGACGACTGGCCAGAGAGAGAAGCCTTGCTTTGGAGGTTGAGACAGTTGGGAGTGTCCATGCCCTGTTTTCAAGGATGCCCAGAAGGCCAAAGAAGCTGGAGTACACAGTCACCAGAGTGTGTCCTCAGCAGCTGATGATGGCCCTTGAATCCTGGCTGGCACACGTGTGTGTGTGTGTGTGTGTGTGTGTGTGTGTGTGTGTGTGTAGATACACGGCCCTTCTGCAGACAGCTCATACTACCAAACCTGCTTATTTCAGTGCCATGAGATAAAATAGGCTTGAGTTAAATACTGAGCTCTAAAGACTGAACAGGGATGGGTACCAGATCTCTTCCCACCTGTTGTGGGTTCACTTAGTGTCTCCTGTGTAGTAACCTTCCCTAGCCACTGCCAGGATGGAGGACCCGGGAGGCTAGGGGACCCCTAACAGAGACTGTCTGTTTCAAGGCATTCCACGAAGGCTGTCCACCATGGAGGTGACAAGCCAGGCCACGTGGCTTGGCTATGTAGTCCAGTGGGTGTGTGCCCTGTGGGTTCTGATTTCTTCGTTCCTCTTCCTCCTCCTCTTCTTCTTTTTGGTTTTCCAAGATAGGGTTTCTCTGTGTAGCCCTGGCTCTCCTGGAATTACCTCTGTAGACCAGACTGGCCTCGCACTCACAGAGATCCGCCTGCCTCTGCTGGGATTACAGGTGAGCATTGCTACCACCTGGTGGCCTCTGATTTCTGAAATCACCTTTGTCACCATCTTGCCTTGTCTAAGCTCCGTTTTGATCTGGTGCACTGCTGCTCGGGTCTGCACAGCGGCAGCGCTGTGCCCGGGGGGGGGGGGGGGGGGGGGGGGGGTGTGTGGCAGTGGGGATGTGTGGCAACCACTCCTAATTGTACCATTGAGTCTCAAGTTCCACAGTTCTTTTACCCTCCAGTAGGTCTTCCCTTGCTGCCCACTGTCTGTATGAGATAACCCGTGAGAGAAGTGTAGGTTTCTAAACCTGGTGGAGTTTCCATCTTTAAGAGGCTGGAGGAGCAAAGCCTCACCTCGTTCCTGACCTACACTTCAGTGCTGAAGTCTCTGGAGGCTCAGCAGCACGGCATGCAAAGCATGGAGACAGCTGTGAGGTTTGCCCAGGGGTGGGAGGCTTTGGGAAGGTGGGGGTTGTAGAGTAGGGATGGTGACTGGACAAGGCTGGGCACACGGCAGATGGAGCCCAAGTCCTCAGGATGCATGGCGGAACACATGGCTCCAGCTAGAGAGATGCTGGATTGCGAGGACTGGGAAAAAGCAGTGAAAGTGTCACCATGCTGACGAATGCAGATGTCTCCTTTAAAGTCGCAGATGGCCTTTGGCCTGTTTTACTCAGCACTGTTTGACAAAACCCCTCCTAAATCAACCAAGAAGCCGACTTTGTGTATAGGAGACCACAGCCTTCCTGCTTCCTTCCTCCCATTTCTTTCTCCACAGATCAGACGTGCACACAAGCAGAAACTCTGAAAACTGGACAGCTTCCTCTCTGTTTACCTCGTCTCTGCCTCAGCCAATCACTGTAAGAACTCCCATTCCTACATTTACCCCCAGCAGAGGCATCTCCACCATGGTCCAGCAAGCACACAGACCAGCACCCTGCCCCGGAGCAGCAATGGTGCCCTTCACAAATTCCAAAGTCTGTGACACCCAAGTCTGTGTAGGAGATGGTGCCCCTTAGGACACCTTCAGATCCTCCCACCCTCACTTCTCTGGAGTTGGGACGACAGACATGCACCACTGCACCTGGATCCACAGTGCTGGGTGCATCCCCTGCCTCCCCTCATTCCTAAACCATCCCTAGGCTCCCTGCACGAGATGATGTAGACTGGAAATGGTTGAATGCTGTGTTAAGTGGGAATGAGGAAGAAAAAAGTTTGAAGGAGGTCAGTAAACACATTCTTTTAAGGCATTTCTATTGCAGTTAGTCGACTCCTCGGGTAAAGAATCCATGGACACAGTAGTTACACATTTGGATTATTTTCATGCAATAGACACATTTGGTTCACGTACGCACTTTGTCGGAGTCCTCTGTTCCATCACTGGTCTCTTCTGTAACTGGGCAGGAAAGCTGTTTTCATCTGTTAGCCACATGCTAACCTGGATGACAGAGCCAGGCCTTGGGTATGCTTTCCTTCCTGAGCTCTGCTCACCTCACTTAGCAGGGCTTTCCCCAATGTTAGCTACTCCCTAGAGCCCTGGTTCTGTGTATGCAGGTACTAGCATCTGAGGGAACTCCAGTGTGCTTGCCGCTGGAATCCAGGGCATGTGAGATGGGAAAGGACACCTGAAGAGCTGTGTATTACAGGGAGGACAGACTATAATTTAGATTTTAGTGGTTTTATTGTAAAATATTCACAGCATAGAATTCACTGCTTTGCTGTTTTGGGAGCAGACGTCAGTGCTGGTGATACCACCATCTGTATTCTGAACTTCCTCTTACCAAACAGAATCTCATTTGTACTCTGATAGAAGACTAACTTCATCCCCTGCTCTCCCAAGTCCCTGGAGGCACCTCTAGACTATCATGAGCGTCTCTGTTCTAGGGATGGTGTGTGAATGCTGTAGTGTTCTTTAGTATCTGTCTAGCCAGTCTAGCTTAGCTAACATCTTCCATATTGGAATCTGTGAGGTTTTCATTATTAAGAATTTTTTTAAAAGATTTATTTATTTATTACGTATACAGTATTTTCAGTATTCTGTCTACAGGCCAGAAGAGGGCACCAGATCTCATTACAGATGGTTGTGAGCCACCATGTGGTTGCTGGGAATTGAACTCAGGACCTTTGGAAGAGCAGGCAGTGCTCTTAACCGCTGAGCCATCTCTCCAGCCCCCCATTATTAAGAATTTTGTATTTATAATTATCCTGCACTGTGGAGGTGAGAGCGGCACTCGTGAGAGATCAGAGGACAACTGAGTGGTCTCGGGTCTCTCCGACTCACCATGCCAGGCGTGTAGTGCCTTCATCTGCTGAGCCATCTCTTGTGTAAACGTGACTGGCTGTCGTGTGTGTGCAGTGCACACTGTATCACCCCGGTCAGTGAGTGGACACCGGTGTACAGGTCCCACCCGGATGCTCACTTCACCTTCTTTGGGGTAAGTGAACACAGGTGGATTCTGGATGCGACTGTTACCGTACTGTTTCTAGGAGATGTGCACTCAAGTTTAGCACGTGTTGACTTGCAGTCAACAAAGGCAGTGACTCCCTGCCTGTCAAAGCCTTTCTACAGCCCTCCAGCACACTGTGGAGCTATAACTCTCCTCGCTTGCATTCTCTTAACACAACGGTAAGTCCCTTTCCAGTGTTTAGAAAGTGTTTGTATTTTCCCATCATGTTCAGTGTTTTGTGCTTTCTCAGTCTCTTGGGTTGGTGGCCATTTCTTACTGATTTGTCTAAGAAATTTCAAATTTAGAGAAGTGACTTTGTTTGTTTTGAGGCAGGATTTCTCTGTGTATCCCTGGCTGTCCTAGGATTCACTCTGTAGACCAGGCTGGCCTTGAAACCCAGAGACCTGCCTGCCTGGCTGGAGCAGTGGTTTTTGGTCCTATGTGGCCTGTGCTTTTTCCAGGTCATTGTAGTCAGGAGGCTTTCTTTTGTTTATGCAAACAGCCAGTTTTATCAGTCTTCTGTAGAGAGGACAACCAGGTGTGGCATCTGGAACATCTGATGTATTGGTCCACAACACTGAGGGAGGGGTGCTTCTAGCTCAGCCCTACAGCAAAATACAGCAACCACAGTACTGGTTACACCTCATTTAAGAACTTCTTGCCCATATCCCTCTGCCCATCCCTCTGTGCTGCTGGGCTGCTTCCTGGATCTGGGAGAGCCATGGGGGCCTCCCTAGCTATAGATCTTCCTGTATTCTAGGCCACAACTGTGGTATCAGCTCAGGACCTGCCTTTCTGCCACAACAGAACGGGAACAAGGCCTTTGTCCTTAGGGCCTGAGCTAGAGCTGCACAGCAGGTCTGCAGGTCTGCAGGGCAGGCATGCACACCCAGGCTCTGATGACTTTCCCACCCCTGTGGACCTGATGCTGTGTGTGGACCACTGAGGACAGTGCCAGTCCTTTCTATCTACAGAAAGGTACAGTGTTTTCTGTATCATACCACACAGTTCCCACCCATATGCGGGGTGCAGAAGGTATGTGCCCGAAAGGGTTAGAGGAGGGGGTTTATCTGGTGGGTGGAACAAATGAGGCCCTGGTTTTTAGATGCTTATTTTGTCTTAACGTTGGATTGTGGGCTGTGAATGGCTTCTGATGGCTAATGGCTCATAATGGTTTCATAAAACCAAGACTTCATGTTAAAGTTTGGCATCTAGCTAGGAGCAGCACCGTACTCTGGTTGGAAAGGGAGGGAAAGAAAGAAGGAAGCACACACTGTTCATTCATTCCGCATGTTCCTCGGACTAGGCTGTCCTGGGTTCTGTGGCACTAGAAAATACCTTGCCAATCATGCACCATCCATGTCTCTGTGGTACTTTTCTCGGCCTCCTCTATCCCTGGACTTCAGACCATTAGGAGGAAATGGGCTGAGAAGCAAATACCATTACAAGGAGCTGGCTACCTGGAGCTCAGATATGAGAGTCTTTTCTTATCTGTGGTCAGGTGTCCTGGTATGCCATGTCAGGTGACTGAGCAACCAGGGAACTGACTCAAGATGCTTGGCACAGTTCACCCAGACTGGTCATGCCTGAGTGGGCATGATCCCATCCTTCCTGATCGAGGAGGGACACACATGTGTGAACACACAGAAGAAAATGGCTGTGCTGTCCTCTGTTTCTTCCATTCAGAACGGACAGTAACTCTGTCTGAGGTGTGTGTGGTTATAATCAAGTTTGGCTTACACGGAACACGAAACCCAACTCTGAGGACACACACATCTCTCTGGAACAGAACCCCAGCTTGTCCTGAAGGTGAGTCACAATTAGTCTTTTCCAAGCCAGGCCTAAGGTTTGTAAGACTCGAAGCTTTTACAGGTAGGACCGGGACAGTTTTTACTCTTTGGGAAACATTGACTATAAAATTTACTCTTTGGGAAACATTGACTATAAAATTAAGTACAAGTTTTTATTTAGAATGGAACAGGTAAGTCCAGCCCCATCCTCCTGTGAGCAGCTTGGCAATGCAGTGGGCCCATCAGCAGGGTGGGTAAGACGGACCGAGCAAGCATGCTGGTCAGTGGTTTCCCTGGCTGCTGACAGCCCAGATGCACAAATGCAAGAGAAAGCCAGCACCCTCCACTTTAGGCCACAGTGCCTTAACGCAACTGTGACGGCAGCCAGCACGTCCCCCCAGGTAGAGGTGCTGAGCACTGAAGCTGATCTGCACGTGGGCAGGGGTTCTTGTAGCAAGTCCACAGGACCGCAGCTTGGTGACTTCTCTGCTCACTCGCCCAGCATTCCCATGTACAGCATGTGGAGAGGAGAGACTTACGAATTTTCAGTTCCCAAATCTTCTGTTTTACTAGACATAGGCCACCTAAGAGGTAGGGTTTGGGTTTGTTTGTTGCCTTCTTGGGGCACGGGGAGCAGGAAGCACTGACTGTTCCCTCGGCTGCAATGGAGGCACTGCCGCACTGCGGAGCAAAGGAGGCAGGCGCTCATCTGCGCGGCGCAGCCTTATCCTCGGCAGGGCTCCGGTCTCCAGCCACTGGGCAGCTCCCCATCACTGGCAGCATCATCCAAATGGGAAGGACGAAGCGAGTCAGCAAACCAGCCAGAGCTAGCTGTCACCATGCAGGCTCACCCGAGACTTGGACGTGACAGGTGACCCGGGCCTCCTCCCTGGAGGAGTCGTGCATCACTGAACTGGGCCAAGGCACAGATGTGGTCAGCACTCTCCTGGTTCTGGACCCCACAGACAGCGTCCTCACCAGACAGACTCCCATGCAGGCCCTGTGCTTTCTGTGCTGCCTGCTAGACCCGAGCTGGGCCTGGGCTCAGCTCCTGAAGGAGCTCTCCGGCCAGTTTTCGTGAGGCTTCAGCACAAAGGAGATCCGATCTATACAAGATCTGGTCAAGAAAGCCAACAATTTCATGGGTGACAGCATCCGTGTGGGCCATCTGCAATGAAGGAAGAAAGGAAAGATGAAGACACTACCTGGGGACTCATCTGTCTGGTACACTCAGCGTGAGGCTGCAGAGGAAGTAGGTTCACCTTTGCTTTGTTTACAAGGTGATTATCAAAGCATGTCTGTCCCCAGCCCCCAAAAACAGTGGGGCCAATTCCTGATGACCAACCTCCCCACAGGAGCCCACACACAAGCAGGGTGGAGGCAGCAGGACTTCCCAGCTTTGGGATTATCTGTTATAAGAGCGGGCAGCCCTCATCACTTGGCTGTCAAAGGCTCACTGCCCCCCAGAGCCACAGTTGAGACTCTCAAATGTCATCTGTGCAGGACGTTGACCAGGATTCCTTGTAGGTACAGCAGCATAGGAGCCCTGAGTTTGGAGAAAGACACGCATTTGTTGTGAGTGGGGCAAACAAGAGCCTGCAGGCTTAGCCCCAGCTCAGCTTCCTCTTGTCTCACCAGGTCTTTCTCTAGGGTGACCCGAGGTTCGCCATACCTTTGTGGCTTTGAGCCTTCACTGGCCCATAGCGCAGCCCTTCCTCCCTGGTCCTACTCTGGCCACCAGTAAAGTGAAGCATGCTGGTCAGGGCTGCAGTCTCTGCATCTGCAGGCCCTTGGCATCTGACTGGTCACTGCCAGGTTGTGACTGAAGAGTCGCAGGTCTGTGGTGCTGCGATGGCCTTCATTTAGAGGCGGCCTCTGTCCTTCCTGGTGCACCAGTCCCTAGAAGCCTTAAAGAGCTAATGTATGTCTAGACTCTGGGAGAGACTGCCTCCCACTCAGGGGCAGGCAGTCACTACACAGCATAACCTCCCACTTTTCCCCAGCATGGCGTCACAGAAACATGCCCTGCTGGCCTGAACCACAGCAGTCTGTACAGGGTTTAAGCATAGCAAGTGCAGCAACTTTATAGAGCTGTTTCCCCATCTCAGACTGATGCGGGAGGAAGTGCAGTGAAGACAAGAAAGAGGAGGTTCACAAAATGCAGTGAGGGCAGGCAGGGTGGAGGGCTCCAAACAGATCCATCCTGGCACCAGTCAGTGCCAGAGGGTGGGAGCTGCAGCAGGTGACAGCCGGGGTTCAGAGGTCAGCCCACCAGAGGAGGGGTCTGACAGGAGAATCCGTGCAGGAAAGGCCTGTGGGATCACGAACGCTGGAAGCTGCTGCTCCTGTCTGTAGTCTCCCCAATACCTGCACTGTAGTGATCTCATGTGGTGTGTATATGTAATCTCATGATCTGTGGACGGTCAGAATGATGACTTCTCATTAAGCTGCATAACTTGGATATATAGAAAATATACTAAGATACACTTCATAACTAGATCTATTGTCCCACAAGGACTGCAAGACACTTAAAAGCCTGCTTTGTTCCTTTCACTCAGACTAAATCAAGAAAACAATTTCCCCCACTCTATCCTAAGCCACACATTCTTACCTCAGAGCAAGTTCAAACTAGACTGAATGTTTCTGTAAATGGATCATAAGTTAAAACCTTTACAGATATGCACACGGTCAGAGTTACAGATGTCTAACCAAGGTTATTAACACAAAACAACATAAAAAAAAAATTCAGACCAACTTTTTGCTTGCCAAGTCTGGCCAATAAAACCTGACTCCCTTGTGCAGATCTGTCTGCAGCTTGCCTCACCCAGGCACTGTGCCGCGGCCTCTGGTCACAATCTTACGCCTAGAACCGTGAACCTTGAACCGCCACGGTAAATGGCTCGGCTCCTTGTTTACCCAAGGAATATGCTATGACCAAGGAGATGTAACTCTTGTAGCTTTTTTTCTTACTGCTCAAGCGTCCTGTAAAAAAATCATTTAAGCTGGGTGAACAGAGAAGTAAGAGAGAACTGGGATGGAGAACTGAAACACGGGAGAACCAGGAAGAACTAGAACCTAGGAGACAATTAGAGGACAGAAAAACAGAGAGCATGACCTGAGCAACCCATACCCTCAGATAAACACACACACACACACACACACACACACACACACAAAGGCAAAGACCCTTAAGTTCAGGTTTGCTACACTGTGGAGTTTTTTCTTTGAACCCTGGCTGTAGCCTTGGGAGCTGGACAACAAGCATGTCAGGGCAGAGTCAGAGAAAGAAGCCAAAGCAGATGGCTACTGAGGTCTGTGGCAAGTCAGAAGGCCCAAACCAGAAAGAGAAGCCAGGAAAGCAGCGGGAGACAGCCCCTGGCTGAAGCTGGAGACACTGCTCCAGCGGGAGGAGGCTGAAGGCAGCCACTGCCGGCTGAGTTTACATTCGTCTGCCCTAGGCCGGGCTCCTCGGGCGGTGACACCCGCACTGCTCTTACAGAAGGACTCTCTGTTGCGTGTAGATGACTCCTGCCATTGACTGGGATGGGGTCAGAAGCCCCTCTAAAGGCAGGGTGTGTGTTATTAACAGTTGTATCTGTAAGGACAGTCCCTGGTGGCCTGCTGGATGCCAGGATGGAGCACTTGGAGGAACCAGCGTATGGCTTTCTCTGCACACTAGGCAGCTCAACTGACCTGGGTTTCTGGGATGCTGCAGTACCTGCTGTAGATTAGCACTGTTAGTGGGTGGCCGGAACAGGCCTGATCAGGTGTGTGCTGTACAAGGCCCAACTCCCCTCAGAAGTCTCTGGGAGTGGGGAATGTGGCCTGTCTTGAATATGGAAATGTTGCTGGAACACCCATCAGAGGGCTGGCATCTCCAGGAGATTTTGCTGGGGTCCTTTCTCACATCTTAGTCGGAGCCTAGGCCACTGTAGTCTGTGAGGGCGACAGGACTGAAAAGCAGGGGGATGTGTAGCCCTGGAAGACGTCACAGAGGTAGTGAGCATTTATGATGAGGTCAGAGATTCAGAAGCGCCTACTAGCAACTGCATCAGACCTGGTAATCCGTGGTGTGTCTGCACAGCCGCCTGTGCCTATCCGGTCATGCATGCCTTCTTGCTCCTGTTAACAGCCGACAATTCTGGTACACTGATGCCTGTCTAAGCCTCTGCCATCGGGTGTGTGACACACTGCCACGGGCACCTTCCCACACAGTGCCATGGGGCATCTTCCCCAGTGCTTGTGGACATTCACACATCTTCCGTGGAGAAGAAAGTGTCAATTCCTTCACCCATCATTTAGTGAGATGGTTTAGCTTTGTTGTCAGTTCTAAGAATCTTTACATATTTAGAATATGTAACTCTTGCCAGATACCCCCTAACTTATTTTCTCCATTCTGAGAGCCAGCCGTGTGCTCTGATAGTTCCCTTTGATGCACAGGCTGCAAACTTACATACAGCCCAATGTTTCTGTCTTTTCCTTTTGTTGTGTGTGGGGTTTTTTGTTGTTGTTGTTGTTACTTTTTTGAGACAGGGTTTCTCAAGTAGCTTTGGAGCCTGTCCTGGAACTAGCTCTTGTAGACCAGGCTGGCCTCGAACTCACAGAGATCCGGCTGCCTCTGCCTCCCCAGTGCTGGGATTAAAGGTGTGCGCCACCACCACCCGGCCCTTTTGTTGTTTTTGGTGTCACATTCAAAACGCTACTGCAAGGTCTTGTGTCACCAGTGGACACTTCCGGCCAACCCCTTTACAAAGCCGTCGATGCATGTGTGCTTCCAGAAGACTCTCTAACTAGCTATTATCTTCCCGAGAGACTCGTGTGCTAGGGTTTGGTGCTCAACTGCTAGTACTATTTGGGAGGCCCTGGAAACTATCTGGAGGAAGAGGCCCACTGGGGAAGTCCTTAGGGATGTCTCCATCCCGTTGTTTCTTGAACACCACAGGTAGACAGCCCTACCATACATTCTCGCCACAGTGATCTACCTTGCCTGCCCAGCACCACGAAGCTATGTGAAAGCAAAATATAGAACAACTCCCTTGCAATTGTTTGTCTCACTTTAGCTTTCCTTTTGCTGTGACCAATGTCTTAGCCAAAGCCTCTCTCCTGAAGTAATGGCCTTGTCGCTACTTAGGAACATGTCACCGGAGCTGGACTTCTCTCCCCAGCATGCGGCAGGTATGTCTTCCCCTCGATGCACCTCCTGAACAGCACGGAGGGGTCTGGGTATGTGCTAACTGTGGCTCTACTGACCTCCAACCCAGGACCCTCTAGGAGGTAACCTACCTTTCACTTAGAGTGTACGTATGCGGTGCAGTTTGGAAAAAGAGCGACTTACGTGGGCGACAGCTTCCCAGGCAACTGCATGGCCTTCTGGGGTCCAGAGCAAGAGGCTAAGAAGCAGGCGTCTGACCAGCTGTCTGCATACAGGTGGCCTGGGGTCTGCACTGGGAATCTCAGCTGCTTTCTGCAGATCGGCAGCGGAGAGGGGGCCACTTCTGAGCAGCATCAGGAGGCGGTTGAGCAATGCCTTCAGCTCCACCTGGGTAATAAAGTTCAGAGGATGAGACCTTAGAGAGGGTGTGACACGTGTGACTCTAGGACTTGTCTGATGCTCAAAGCCCAGGGAGAGAGACAGTCAGGCACCCAAGCTGGGCTAATTCACACACAGCTCTACAAAACCAAAATGGATGGACACAATGGAAACTTCTTGACTTTCTTTCCTCTTGCCCACGAAGCAGCCAGGGCGCTATGCCAGGACCTGACCTTTTTTATATGAAGGCAAATGAAGGCAAGTCCTCAGCAGAATGTCGTTAGAATTTTCTTATTGTGGGGAAACAAAAGGCCCCTTGAAGAGGACCCTTCACTATCAGCCACAATCAGCTAGAGCCACAGGCCCACTGGGCGGTGCTGGTAAGAATGCAGGCTGCCCCTGCCTGGGCTGCGAGGGAAGCGCAGGCCACACACACACAAGCACGTCTGTTTGGTTGCAGACACTGGAACAGTTGTTCGTACATGCTCACAGCTCAAGCAGAGGTCACAAGTCTGTGGAATCCACATAATAACAGTGACTGTTCTAAGTCTGTGGGTTGTTTTTGCATAAAAAATATTTATTTCATGTTGAGACTCCTGTGGCTCACAAAGCGAGGCAGAAGCTGGGGGCTGCAGAGATGCTGCATAGGACATCGCATCCAAGGTCCGTCCTGCAGAAAGGTTCCGCCGACCTGTTCTGAGAATTCCCACGGCTGCTTCTGCGAGTCTGCAAGTTTAGGCCCCACTCAGAGCCATCTGTCAGGAATAACGGCTCCTGACAAGGCTGACTGTGAGAAAGGAGCTACAGCGTTCTCCACTGAGGGAGCAGTATTCCCTGGATGGCTACCACCCCGGCCAATGACAACTCTGAGCACTCCGGGAAAGAAGCTTCTCTCTGCCTGTACTAGACGCTGTTCTGTCCACACTGACTGCACCTCACGTGCCTTCTGTGTCTAGATGCTTCTATAAGGGAGGCGTGTGCTCTTTGAAGTATTTTCTTATTTTCGTTCTACATTATAAAAATTTACTTTTGCTCACTATGGAAAACATGAAGATTAAGGCATGATGAGCAATCCCCCACTCGTTCTCTGGAGGCGTCCCCACGCTTCATGCATTGGGAGTAACTGTTTCCTGCCCCTCTCCTACATGTCCACGTGTACCATGAGCCAGTCGCATGCTGAGCACTACCTGGTAATGAGACTCTTCCTGGCAACGTGCTAGTCACTTCAACACCAGCAGCTTATGCAAGCTCAGAGCATTTCAGCTCCTGCAGCTATGACTCTGCTTTGACGCCCACTGTGTGCAAGCAGCTGTGTGAATCTCTGCCTTTCCAGGAAGATTCCTACAAGTGAGAAGCCAGTGTCTGAAGGGTGTGAGGCCCTGACCAAGCCAAAGGGTACCTAGAATACAGTCTTCAGAGCCAGAGCAGACGAACACAGCTGGCAGAGGTGCATCCCAGGCAGGACAGGTGTTCTCTGGCCAACAGAGGGCTGTCTGCCGCTGAGTGACTGTGACTTACGGGTTTAACATCAGCAAACTCCAGAGGTTCTGGCTTCTAGTACTAGGCAGTGGCTGCCCCTGAGTGCCCGGCTAAGGAGGAAAGGAGTGGCTGCTTTTATTCAGGTGTCTAATCATCCCAAGAAAGACGGAGGCTTACTTTTTTTTTTTTTTTTTTGAGACAGTTTCTCTGTAGTTTTAGAGCCTGTCCTGGAACTAGCTCTGTAGACCACAGAGATCCACCTGCCTCTGCCTCCCAAGTACTGGGATTAAAGGCATGCGCCACCACTGCCAAGCCCCGAGGCATAGTTTTAAAGAAAAATATTCATTAATCCAAGTTAGCTAGTAGAAAAAGGTGCCAAATGTAGACCTTTTGAGAAACTAAGTCCATTTTAAATAGAAAAAGAAATTATGTGTGCATATGCACACACATGTGCAGCCTAGGTATGCCTTACATGTATGGAGGTCAGAAGCCACTTTGGGAGTTTATTCTTGCCTTCTGTGATGTGTCCCACCATCTTGCTTGCCCCTACAAGTTAAATCTTACAGGACACTACTCTGTATTTCAAAAGTCAGTCTGTATACGTATCTATGCTACATATGAACTAACATATACAAATAATCTAATAATAACAAGTGCTTCATACACCTTCATCATTCCTACTAAAAGATGAAAGCTATGAACTAGAATTGTGCTTAATCAGTTTAATGTGATATATATTTGCAATTTTTATTTTATTTAGTGTATGGGTGGCGTGAGTGACACATTGTGTGGAGTCAGAGGGTAACTCTGGGGAGTAAGATCTCTCTGTGGGTTCTGGGGGTTGAACTCAGGTCAAGTGCCATTATGTGTTGAGTCATCTCACCAGCCCAAATGTGATGTTTTAAAGTGAAGACTGTTCCCTTTTGAATTATGCAGCAATCTTCAAATACATATGTGGATAACTTCTTTAATATGCTTCATTCTGATCCAATATTATCCTCAAATTTCAGCTCTTTCGGATTCCAAGGCTCATCTTCGCCATGCTATGGGAGCCTTTAAGTCAGAGATTCTCAACTTCCTAATGCAGCTCCTCATGCTGTGGTGACCCCAACCATAACATTATTTTATTGCTACTGTTATGAACTGCACTGTAAATATCTGTTTTTCTGATGGTCTTAAGTGACCCCTGTGAAGGGGTTGTTTTACACCCACAGCTGGAGAACCACGGCTTTAAACACATGAAACACAAGACTGCACTAACCTCTGATTCTGGAACGAACAGAAGCACTGTTCCATACACACTGAAACCTGTTCCTTTGCATTACTATAGTAAGGGGAAAAGCACTGGAAACCAAGGCTTTGTTTTGTTTTGTTGTATTTCTTTATTTCCTGTGCATTGGTATTTTCCCTGTAAATAGTTCTGTGTGAGACTGTCAGATTCCCTGGAACTGGAGTTACATTCTGAGCTGCCATGTGGGTGCTGGGCATTGAACCCAGGTCCTCTGGAAGAACAGCCAGTGCTCTTAACCACTGAGCTGTCTCTCTAGGCCTAGACTGAAGCTTTAAAAGCCAATAAGTAAATGTTTGCAAGGAGGTGACAAAGCTTTAATCAAAACGTGGCTCCCTGAAATAACTACATTCTACATAAATAACAGCATCTTTGCCATAGACAGATGCCCAGTCCTGCGCATAGAAACTCTGTTATTTAGATGACCAAATGGTTACATCATGTGATTCCCTCAGGAGTCTGGCTGATGTCGGAAAATGGTGAGACTGAAGGAGACTGGCCAGGCTGCTGGGTGTGGGGGAGGGGAGAAGACAGTGGCTCAGGGGCCAGGCTGTCCTGGGACAGAGCAGCGTCCCAGAACAGCTGTCGTGCCTGCGTGTCATCTCCTAGAGCATGGACCCTGGGGTGAGCATGAGGGCAGCTGAGGCCACTGAGCAGAACCTGGGATCAAATAACCCTGGGGACAGGAAGCCCAGAGCATGAGAAGCTGGGGCAGCCTCATCTCAGGTCCCTGCGGAGGCAGGAGAACACCATGGTCTGCGAGCTAAGTCACCCAGCACACATGACAAGTGCCCTGAGCCTGATTGGGGCTCAGCAGATGTGAACAAAGTCCTGCACTCACCATGGTCTGTGCTCTCTGCCGACTCCCGTCCTGCGGGCTGTAATAGAACACCACGAGCCACAGCAGGTCTGCAGGGGGCTCAGCTTCCTCCCTCAGCAGCTGCTCCATGGCCAGATCAACCCATCCTCCAAAGTGGGTCAACAAAAACCAGCTCTCGAAGGGATCTTGCTGGGACCTGGAACAGAGCAAGACACACATGGCAGCCTCGATTCAATCTTAGTCCTTTTGTTCACAGTAACTTTAATGTTTGTGAACTAGTACTTTAAATTGTACTTTCCCACTGAAGAAAGACCCTCAGAGACAAACTGGATTCAGAAAACCTTTGTGTCTCATCTAAGCCCATCGCAGGACAAACCAAGGGACCCTCCCATGCACACATGCGATGATATTTATGTCTTTATAACCAGGTACCTATAGGATCCTAGGCTCTGAGAGAGATCTGGGGACTGTGGGGGGCAGCATGAGGAGGAAGAGGTGAGGTAACAGCAGACGTGTAGGGGTGCACTCTGTTCCAGCACTGCAGTCCTGACAGTCCCAGCACTACAAGGGTGGAACAGCCTAAGCTCCTGAGGAGAACCTTCGTTCAACAGGAGCATCATGGCCTCTGCAGTGTCTGCAGGGCTGTGGAGTCCCCAAGTTCTAAGCATGGTTCTTGCCTTCTAGTCACTGTCCTATACCTCCCCTAGAATGAGTGATTTCTATGTTTTAAATCATGTTTGCAGGACTGAAGGGAAGAAGGCAGGTGCCACCCTGTCAGAGGAGGGTGACATCACTGCACAGGCTGAAGGAGCAGGGCTGCACAAGTCCCTCCCCCCTCCCACAGACCTCATCAGCGAGTATACTGAGTAGCCAACCCTACTCACAATACCGCCCTGTCTGGACTGACCTTCCCCTCTCTCCTTCCGGGGGGAGGGGTGTCTAACAGCTGCTCCACACCCTTTACTATAAGATACCTCAAGGCTCACTGAGTGCACAGGCACTGGCAATGACCCCACCTGACCACCAGCCTTTGTGTGAGCTGTTATAAGAATCTGCCAGGGAGGAGGGTTTGATGGACAAAGCATTCAATCATACATGTGAGCACAGCAGCACCCACAGTGCGGTCTCAATCACACATGTGAGTACAGCAGCACCCACGCTTGGCACACTAGAGGAACTAACTCGGAAAGGGGACAAGAGGGCCTTGGGCAAATGAAGAACATGCAGTCATTTATCGTCTGGACGTGAGCAAGCTCAGGACTGGAGGCACTATGAGCTGGGGGCGAGCCTGTGTGGGAATGCTTTTGGAGAGCAGCACCCGGAGGGGGGCCTCCACCATGCTGCCTGTTCGCTTTGGAGACTTATTTTTACATTTATGTGTGTGTCTGTGCATGTAAGTGGCCACAAAGCCCCCAAAGGGGCATCAGAACCTCTGGACCTAGAGTTACCTACTGTGGGTGTCAGGAACCGACCGAGTCCCCTACAGAATGCATGTGCTCTGAACCACTCAGCCATCTCTCTAGCCTTGGAGAGATTAGAGAAATAATGGCAAAGAATAAAGGGGTGGGATACAAACAGTTAACATTTCCTCCCTCTGGTCAGGAGCTCAGTCTTCTTCCTAGGGAACCAGGGACAGCTTCATGTGGTAGCCAGGGGCTCAACATGTGGGGGCGCTGTTCATTTCTGGAGCCTCTCCTTTGCAGACCTTACTAAAACTGACTATGTAGATGCCCTTGCAGTGCTGGCTGCTCACTGACCCACACTTTCTCCACTTCTCACTGACAGTCGTGTGCTTGTCTGAGAGGGGTCGAGCAAAGCCTTCAGCTGCCAACCTGCTCACCCATGAGAGTGGTCTTCAACTGCTTCTCTGAGGAGCTGGGAAATGTGCAGCAGAGGCTGGAGCCGATGTCTCTGTGGGATAGCTGTGGGTGGAGAGAAGTCAGGGGGAACTGAAGGAAAGCCAAACCCATGGGGAGACGCCCGCAGCTTAGACTGAAAGCATTGTGCAGAAATGCCCCCGCCCCCGCCATTCACAGAACCCATGTCATACTTGTCTCAGCCAGGATCTGTCTCTGAGTCAAACTTCAGTTTCTTTTGTTGTCTTGTTTGAGACAGGGTCTTACTATTATAGCCCAGGCTGGCCTTGAATTTACTATTTGTCCGCCTCTGCCTTCCAGGAACCAGGACTACAGCCCTGCATGCCATGCCTGATTTCAGGTGTCTTTACTTAGAGTACACAGAAGTCAGGAAATCTTGGCCAGCCTTGTTGCAGATGCTCTGCATTTTTCTTCTTTCCGTATTCTGGCTCCGTCTCAAATTTGTGACATCAAAATACTATTCAATATGGTCCATCAATATGATCAAGGACAAGAAATGGCTAGCTCAACTGTTTTGCTGGGGTGTGATTAGGCCAAGGAAAAAGCACAAACAACCGTGCAAACAAACAGAACTTGTGTGTGTGTCTGGTTTCACACCTGCCTCTGAGCATCTGATCTGCATGTATCTGTAGCTAAGACCAACCACGGACAGTTCCAGAGGTAGAGAAGCCACACTGCTGGACCCACAGCAGCCCCTCCCTGAGGCCAATGGCATTTCCTCCTTCTAGTCTAAGTACTAAGTACGACTTTTTTTCTCCTGTAGTGTGAAGTCTATCAGCAGTGACTTTTTACGACCCAGAACCTCACCACATGAAGGACAGTTCTGATGAGCAGGCTTACACACTCCTCTCTCCAAAGCAATGTGTAGGCAGGATCACCGCCTCACTGCTCAGTTTTTGCTTAAAGTCCCTTGCTGTCTTTGGGGGATGGGAAGGCAGACAGCTTGAGTTCATGCTGTGAAACATGACTGCATCCAGGTCTCAGAACCTATGCTCCAGTGTGTTAGGAGCCTCAGGCTTACACAGTGGGCTAAGGACAGTCACAGTCCTACTTTTCTCTTTTGCTGACGCCTTTTCCTACTGCGTCCCCACTGGGGAAAAAAAAAAAAGAGGAAAAGGATGACTGCTCCTAAGTATGGTGGAAGAGAAGATTTCAAAACCACCATGCGGGCATCCCACTGAAGCCAATGTGGTCAGCCCATCCCAGCTCTGCCAGAGGGCTCTGTCATGTAAGTCACCTTGGGCAGAACCCTACATCTTACAGAAAAAGGTAAAGGTATTTAGACTTTGTAAAATGCCTTGAAACTCTCGACTGTCCGCTTACCTCAAACAGATCTTACTCGAGTATGGGGGAAAGAAGCCACAGTGGCCACAGTAGGGAAACGTGAGCCTCCTTCATCCTTCCTTCCTGTCACAGCCTTGTCTACAGACTGTCGGCTGGCGTCAGAGGGAAAAGGCTCCTTTATGCTCCATAGCTGAGACATTCCCTAAACATGAGCTCATAGACACAGCGCAGATCAACACCAGATTACAGACATGGCCTAGAGTGGCAGATGAATCAGAAAACACTGGGGCCTAACAATAGAATTTTACTGAATCTTTTCAAAATCTTCTCCTTGGCTTGGATGAAAAAAAAAAATCTCCCTGAAATTCAGTGCCCTCATCCTTCACTTTATCCTTTGTTCTATAACAAGGCTGCATGGAGAAAGAAAACAAAGCCGCTGTTGCATTCTGACTCAGCCTGTCCCTGAGCCTCAGCAAAGCTGCTATGGATGGACAATCCCAGCAGCTGGGCTCTCTTCTTTTCCTTTATCACCCCTGGAAGCAAAGCAGTATTTTCTGAGGAGGAAGAGAAGACCTGGGAGGCAGCCACTGTGACACAGGCGAAGGCATCTCAACTCACCTTCTGGGCGCTGGGACAGCATGGCAGTGAGGGATGGAGCACCGTATGGGAAGTAGGTCTTGAGGGAAAACTTCATCTACAAGAATCAAAATGGAAGTGGCATGAACGCTGGGAGTGGGGGGCGGTGAGAACAATAAACCTCTGGCTGCCTCAGCCCCAGAGACCAGACCCACTGTCCTAACACAGCAGAAGGTATCCTCATTTTATAATCTCTTAAGAGGCCAAACAACATCTTCTGGAACTTAGGGCAGTCACATCATCTTGCTGCCATTTTTACCGAAGTTTCTGCTCACACAAGTCCAGCCACAAACGTTATCTTCTATTTCAGAGAGAGCTGCTAACACTTGTGCGACAGGACCTCACTGTGGTTATAATTATATATATATATATGACAACCAAAAGTAGCCCTACACTAAGAGCATGAGGCTGTGCATACCAACTGCATCTCCCAAGGGCATGGAGGTTTTGCAATAAAACTAACACAGGTAAAGTCTACAACACACGAGTTACAGGTTCTAAGTATAAAGCTTGAGAATCTTGGGTGAGCATGTGAATCCCCCTGATCAGAACCTCCTCATGACACACAGAATGCTGCTGTCACCCTGGGGAGTAGGTCAACCGCCGAACCCTAGGCTTGCAATAAATATTTTAATTTCAACATAGATCAAGAATTACACCCCAAATTGCGCACAGACAGACACACCAAGTATGCATGCTTCTGATCTAGTCTTCCTGGTCACAGGACTCATGCACCAGGAGTTGCTTATCTGCCCTCAAAGATGAGTAGAATTAGCACTGCTATGGACACTCATGTCTTTGTCGCAGGTCTTTGCAAGGGTGAGTACCATGGAAGAGGTAACTTTTCAAGCCCAGCAGTGCTCCATCCCCATCACTGGATGAGAATTACCTGCCAACACTGGGTGCTGTGGAACTCATTGGCTTTAGCTGGTCTGCCTGGTATGAAACATTCCTTCACACATGGTTGATTCTGAGCTTGCTCTGTGTGCAGGTGATGCCGACCCCATTCATGTGCCCAGCAACAATTTGAATAGCGCTCTGAAGTGTGTGTCCATTAAAAAAAGCAAAAAACAAAATACTGGCTGTTGCTTCCTACAAAGTTGCAAGAGACAAAGGCTTCCAGGATGAATACTGAAAATGCCCTCTAAGCTGCTGGACAACCTATTCATCTTCAAAGCCATCTACCACAGAACACTGTATTTTAATGACTACCTTTTGACATCTGTTTCTTTCCCTCACTGGACATCTGCAGAGCTGTTTCCACCTCAGAAGTTCTGGGGCCACTTTGAGTTGTGGCTCCATGCCCTGCTGTCCCAGGGACCTTAGTGAGAAGTGGGCTTAGTCCCCATGCTGAGGCCCTTCTTGTTCTTGTCAGTTTTGTAGGATTTAACAATATTCTACCCCGTGGGATAACTTCATCTGTGGGAGACTCAACACAACCTGCTGCCTATCGAGCAGGCACACTGGTGTGCACAACAGGAAAGAGCAGAGGGAAGGATGCTCATACGAGACTCCCTGACGAAGGCAAATGAGTTGGCTAAGAAAGCACTGTTCTTTATAACCAACATGGCAGGGCCTGTGAGACCTAACTCTGAACCCCGTAAATAAGCACTTCTATTCTTGTCATCCAACAAATGCTCAACACAACATGTTTATAGCAGAAAGCACATGTAAAAATAGCTGAGTACCAGAAACTAGAAAATGGCTATGCTGTGGTTCATCTGTGCAATGGACTGCCCCAGAGCCACCTCTTACCACAGTGTCAGAGGCCTAACGCCATCTTTACAGCACCGAGAAGAGAATCTAGGCTCAGCTATCATATGTGCTGCCCTTCGATGTGTCTCATAAAGGGAAAACTAAAGTAAACCCCAAACCATTATTGTGGTCCCATGTAGCTAATCAAAGTATTTTGGAGAAAGAATGGTAATGAATATAAAACTCAGTCTGGGTTTGCTGGGTGCAAGAGGCAGGGAGGCAGGTGGGAGCACAAGGGAGTCAGCACACCGGTGACCCAGGTGTTGTCTGGGGTGGCTTCGCTGGCTTTTTTGCCCGCGGTAACTGAAGGAGAGGGGTCAGCACAGACAGAAGAGGACAGAACTATACTGTGGCTCCATGAGTATGAGCACTCGTAAGTGGACTCCTGAGTTGTCAGTTAAGATGGTGGCTGTCAGGAGCAGCCCCAGGAAGAGAAAATAAATCATCTCAGGTTAGGAAGCTGCTGCTCTTCTGTGTGTGGAGCCAAGGGCAGGTGACAAACTCTTGTCTGTTTCTGGATTCCTACCTGCCTGGTATGAAACTTTCCTTCACACATGGTTGATTCTGAGCTTGCTCTGTGTGGCAGGTGATGCCGACCCCATTCATGTGCTCAGCAACAATTTGAATAGCGCTCTGAAGTGTGTGTCCATTAAAAAAAAGCAAAAAACAAAATACTGGCTGTTGCTTCCTACAAAGTTGCAAGAGACAAAGGCTTCCAGGATGAATACTGAAAATGTCCTTGCCTAAAACTAGGGCCCAGGGTGATCTCTTACTCCTAGACATACATGGCAGCAGTCAGTGTCTTAAATCAAAGGCACTGTAACTCCAGTGCAAACCCACAGCACCAAGGCCAGCAGACACTCATGGCAAACTCAGAACAACATTCAAGTCAATGCTGAGAAAAAAACTTTCATTCTCTACCCCTACTTGGGCATCCCAGAAGTCCAAACAAGGACAAGGTTTGCCAGAGGCCATTTCCTCCCTGGGGACACCAAGAGTGCGGTAAGGGAGGACGGCACATGTTTACCGCTGTGCTCACAACCGTGAGTGCCAGCCAGATGCCAAGCTGGGAATCATCAATGCTCCTTCCCCAGGGAAACAGGGATGGCAAGAGTAAGTCACAATGTGTACGGTTGCCTTAGGAAGCAGGAACATCTGCTAAACCCTGAGACCTCCACAGCCTTGGGCTGAACACCCTAGCTCTGCCCTCCTAAGTAAAGCTGCAGACAGCAGCAACAGAGGACCAGGCTCTCCTTCACTGGAAAGGTGTAGGCAAAGCACCACAAAAACATCCCTGTGTAATAGGAAAATCTCCTATTTCACACGGTCATTCTAACCGGCCAGCGGCCCTCACAGATGCTGTCCCACCCCTCTACTGAGGGGAACTTGGAGTCCTTTGATCTACTGGTGGTATCTAACTTCTACTACTTCTTCAAGTCCCTCCCTGTCTCCACCTCCAAAAACAATGACCACTGAGTACGCCCAGCCTGCAGTTTCTATGGTACATCCTAGGTAGACTACACAATGTTTCTTGATGGCCACGGGGCCAGCTGCAGACATAAGAACAAGCACAGAGAGGGAGGAGGCAGGGATGAGGGCTAGTGGGGATTCTCCCTCCAGAGAGAAGACACAGCAGTGGGCAAATGGTGACAGGCACAGGGTATGGGGGAGGCAGACAAAATCTTTAGTAATTTTCAGTTAAGTGTTTCATCTCTGCAGGAGCTGGGAGTGCAGCCAGTGTCAAAGCATGCGCCCAGCACGTGTGAGGCTGTGGGTGGTCTCCAGCACCAGAAGGACACAATTTCTCAGAATAAAGATCCTTTCCACCCATTTCCAAATGTCCACCGCAGCCTCCTTCGCTCTGCAGGGACTGAGCAGCTCACAGTGTGACGTACCTGCTTGTGCTCTTTTTCCAGAGCGTCTGCCAAGCACGACATGAAGACCTGAAGAGCAGCGAGCACCTCTGGGGCTCCGTCAGTCTCCAGCAGCACAGACCTGGAGAGAGCAAGGTGAGATAGTGACACACTGCCCCCCACATCACAAATCCATGCCACAGCTTGAGCTGCGTTTCAGTTCTCCTGGGTGAAGGCAGGAGGAAGCAGCCTCCCCTCAGGTCTCTCTCACACCCCTGCCCACGGGCTGGCTTCTGTTCTCAAGCTCCTTAGTGTTCATGGAGCACAGCGCCAGCAGCGTGTGCTCTGCTTTTGTCACCGGGACAGGACTAGCTGCCTGGAGAGCAACACCCTCGGTCGGAATCACCAGAGGGATGAGGAATCAGATGTACGTGGGTTTGGTTTCCATCCATATTTATATAATTAACTTTTTTTTAAGAAAAAAAAATTTTCTCAAACTTTGACTTAAACAAAGACACTGGTCTGACTTCTTACATCTGTGGCCATTTAAGTTAAAGTTGGTATGTTTTAATGGTAACACAAATGGTGAGGTATTGGTTGTAAAACTTCCCTTCCTAGGTCTGGAGAGATGGCTCAATGTTAAGAGCACTTGCTGCTTTTCCAGAGGAGTTGAATTCAACTGCCAGCCTCCATATCAGGCAGCTCACAACCCTCTGCACCTCTGCGGGCACCTGCACCCATCTGCATATACCCACACAGACATGCAAACACCTACAGATAATTACAAATAATAAATCTTTAAAAATTCCGTTCCCGGAGCCTGCTGTCTGCCCTGGAGCACTTCCTCCATGTCTTCTGTGAGAAACAGGTGGCTGAAGGCAGCCCAGACCCCAGCTGCTCCACCCACATGGGGCCGGACGCTTTAGTCTGTCTTTAGGACTGCACTGCTCCAGTCGCCATGATCCTCCAGACAGAGCCAACCCGGTGTGGTACACACTCCTTACCTGTCCTCAGGACCCAGAACCACCATGCTGTTGAAATGTGGGCGTGTGCTGCCTTTCGGGAGGCTCTGCTCAGAATAGCCGTGTCTGGCAAAGCCCAGTCAGCCCTCCTGTGGTGAAGGGCTGTACTGCTTGCTTAACTTGGATCTGGGGGAAACCCTGTGTGCATATTTCACTAATTCAATTCCACTCCTCTACCACTGAGTATAAAAAGGTTCAGGAATACCGTCGCGTTCCTACTACTACTGCCTTTTCAATGCACACTAACTTCTGAGTTTTCACCACTAACTATCCAAAAAACTCAAGCCTCAAGACAGTCAAAGACTACTGCAAGGATTTCTAATTATGTTTGGAAGCTGAGCATTTCTAGACCGACTACTCCCAAAGACACTGTATTTACCTGAACATTTCATCTACAATCCTGAAGATGGCAGGATGGCAGGCTGCTTGAGGCTATAAAAGGAAAAGACCGTGAGACAGTGAAATACAATAGGCGTCCATCAATAGCAACTTTAGATGATCAGGAATACGAGGGGTCTATGGCTGCTCCAGAAAAGGGGCATGGTCCTTTTCTAAGCAAAAAGAGCACTGGGTGCATTGAAAAACTCACACATAAAATGCCAGCTGTGGGCAAACTTTACTTCTTTTTATATTCCTATTATATCCTCTATTTTCTCTAAGAAGCCCATATATGTAGGAAAAAGTTTCATGAGCAGTCACAAACCACTTTATGACTCAGGCCATGAGACCTGCCTTAGGACCTCCTCAGCTGGCCTAGAGGCACCCCAGCGCTGCCTCCACCCCGAATTGTTAATGAGCACTCAGTAAGAAACAGGGGTCGTATGCTGGGCATTCAGTGCAGGACACATTTACCAGTTAACAGAAAGCACAGCTGTGTGACACCCAGTGACGACCAGCTCTCTAGCCCTAGAACAGCCTGTTGGTGGGTTCTTGATGGTTCCAATCCAAAGAAGCTGGCTCCCTCAGAGGGCCTTACCAGTGTCCACACATTTTTGGTCAGAACATAACACTTGAGTTTATAAGAGATTTTAAAAATCCCATTTGCATTATAAAACTCACAGTGGCACCCAGATATGCATAGGCCAGGCTCTAATGAAGGGAATTTCTGAGTCATTCTGTGCTTGCTATGACTAGTTTTGGGAAACATTTCTCATCGCCATCTTAGGCCCTTTGCGTCACTTTTCTAACAATTCCGAAGAAAGCTCAGTGTCCATCTCCTTGTTAGTTCTCCAAGGTAGCTCAACTTCAACATGGAGTATGTGCCATCCAGTGGTCACATGTGAGCATTACAGACTGCCACTCAAAACATTTGATTTGCAAGTTAATGCTTTCTGACTTTGAAGTAAAGTAACCACGATTTCTAACCCTTTGTCAATAAACATCTTTATCCAAATGAAGTGAACCTCAGATTCTCATGAACATGTCACCTATTTAAGAAATGGACGACAGGTTATTTCTTGACTCTGATCTCAGAAAGTCATTTAATTTGCCTGCTCCTCAGCCTCACTATAAACACTTAACAGTTGTTAGGGGATTTGGACACAGGCCCAAAAAACACTGAAGGGGTTTCTATGTGATCATCATGGAAAAGTCCAAACAGGAGAAAAGCAAATTGCATGTCTTAAAGAAATAGAAATCAGCGAAGTTAGCCAGGATAATTCTAAATGGATTTCTAAATAGTTAGGAGAGGGAGGGGGAGAGGAGTAGGGGAAGGGGGAGGGGAGTGGGGGAAGGGGAGAAGAGTGGGGGGAGGGGAGGGAAATGGGAGGCTGGGAGGAGGCGGAAACTTTTTTTTCTTATTCTCAATAAAAATGCAAAAAAAAAAGAAAAATACAGTATATATTTTTTTATTTGTGGTTCCTAGATTTAAAATGGTGGTATACAATCTTATATGTATATATTTTAAATAAAAGACCCAGTCTAAACTTCAAAAAAAAAAAAAAAAGAAAAAGAAGATGCAGGAGGCACCTGAGTGACCACCAAAACCACAGGAGGACACAAGGAAGGTGTTCTAACCTAGTTTGTCAAAGAGAAAACTGGATGAGCTTTGCTCTGATTCAATGGTTTCCTTCTGAACAGATCAGCTGGGGATCCCGCATACCCTCTCTATGTGGCTGACTCTACAGGCAGATGTCTTTCTCTGTAAGGACTCTAGATCCGTGGTTTCTCCCAGCTTCACATGCTACTTTAGATTCTAAAACAGACAAGCAGACGGGGCACCTCCTGAAATAGCCAGGACAAGGGTGGATGTTTAGCTGTCCTTATTACTCTCACTGAGAGAACCCCTTTCTCCTCTACCCTCCTTACTGGAGGTCTTCCCAGGACATCATTTCAGTGCTGGTAAGTTACTTCCTAAAGATCAGAGTATTCCCAGGTCCCGGTGGCACACTTAAGCCAATTTCCTCACCAGACCTAGAGCTCCCATGCATGCTTCTCTGAAAGTCAAATTCTACCTCTTACAGAATCCCTGTGAGGAGGAGGCAGATTTAAATCCTCTGCAGAGTGTTTTACAGGTCATCAGAGGGACATCAAAGGTCACTCTGCATTCCAGGAATCTACAGCTTTGCCCAAAACATGAAATCTGTGCAATTATCTTTTCTACCAAAATAAGGGAAAAGAGAGAAAAAGCAAAGATGCCTCAGGTTCCTTCTGCTCCTTTGTTTTTTCTCCATCCTCCCAAATCTTGTTCCTTCTCAAACCCTCTCCTCCATCTGACCTAACAATCTTCACATGGTGATTGCTTCATTCCAAGGAAACCACGTCGTCAAGAGACACCAGGAACACTCTACTCCTTTCCTGCCTCCACGTTTCAGTAAGCACTGGAGGGTGGACAGATGATGATGGAGACCTGTGGCCCCCTCCCTCTCCGCTGGGAGCCAGAATGTCTCCATCTTTCCTCATTCCCATCCCTCAGCAGCACTCCGCAAGGAGTCAACATGGACAGCACAGAGCATCAGTGAGACAGAGGCGGGGAGCTCTGCACCAGGAGCTGTGAGAATGGTCTGGGCTCCAGCTCAACCGTGGAGCTCACTAAACTGCTGTTCTCGTCCCAGGGTGTCAAGAGTTGTTATAAGTACCTGACACTCCGGAGAGAACGCACAGCAAGTTTCTCAGGAAGAAAACACTTTTTTTTCTATCAACTGTTTTCAGATTGTGTGTGTGTGTGTGTGTGTGTGCATTTGAGAGACAAAGAACTAGAAAGGAAACTCAGGTGATTCACAGAGAAAAGTGAGTGCCTGAGTCTAATGAAGAATCACAATGAAAGCGGCAATCTTCTTTCACACAGAACCAGCAGGGAAACAACAGCTCAGGTTCAATACTTAAGGATCGGCCCATTTTAATGTTGTGTGATGTCAGAAAATGGTCATTTGAGAAAATGAGCTGAGAAGTTTCCCTTCCAATTTGCACACCAGAGGGGAGCCAGCCCCCCCACTCTACTGACAAGAGAGACATCCCTCTTTGTACACAGACATGAGTTAAAAGGTGGTGACTATAGTTATCAGAGACACAAATATATACAAATTCAAACAAAACAAAAATAAAAGCCTCTTCTAAAGGAATATTCCCCATAGGCTTCAACAATAAAAACTCTTTTACCGAGTTAAAAAATGATTTAGCTTTGAAAAAAATCTACCTATATAAAAAAACTTCACATTGATCGTGTAATAGGCCACTTTCATAGATACATACTTTCATTGTGGCATTTTCTTTTCTATTTTTAAAATGTTAAACATAAAACTAAACAACTCTTCACATTTTAGAATCTATTTTGCTTTAAAAGATTCATGTTTCTTGCAACAAATTTGAGCTTTCTTTTTAATCTTTACCAGATGCTGTTTATACTACAAGCAATTTTTTTCAGTACCCCATAATGCAATTATTGTTTAATTAGTGATAAATCTGTCATTCCTGGGCTTAAAACCTTAACAAGTACCAAATGTGCTCTTATGTTGTAAGTTTACGTGAGGTCTCAGTGTCAGGACAGAGAAGCAGGGGTGCACACTGTGGGATGCCCAGCTCCGCACACTGGACAAACTCTTCCAGCCCTGGTCCCTGTGTCCTGCCACTGCTCACCTTGACCTCTCAGTGGGAGGGGCTGTATAGTCCACTGTGTTTTCGTGGTCTGTTTGTGGGCCTCTTCCCCTCCACCTTCCAGTAGCTACGACTACAACCCCAGGAGTGAAGACTATCCTGCACCCTGGGCTTTCTTTGGGGACAGCATTGGGGCATCTAGTGCCCTCGTGAGGCTGACACGGGAAAGCGCAGCACAGACAGAAGCCCCACAGCACTTTTCTGGTCCTCCAAGGCCAAGTCTTCCTCTCCAGCTTTGGTTTAATTACACGTATCACATTAGAGCTCAGGCAGGAAGTACTTCAAGAACACTCATGGAAAGGCAGGGAGAGAAAAGGTGGAACACTAGTGAAAGCTGCTCATGTTGAGGACAGGAGTTACCACTTGTATTTTAGCAATGGGATTGTGCAGGGGACTTTCTGGGAAGTTCCGCCTTCTAAGGCCACAGTGACTGCCCTCTGAAGAATTCCTACCGGACAGAAGGAACACACTGAGGTGTCTGGAGCTCGCAGAGACAAAGATACTTTTTACTGAGCTACCACTTCTTCTAAGTAAGATAATTAATGAGAATAGTCTCCGACTTACAAAAGCCTTACCCTGCCTCCTGCCTTCCATGCACCCCTTCTTTGGGGCAGCTCTTCTAGGCCCTAAAGTGGTGGCTTCTAGCAGGCGGTCAGCTCACAAGGGGTGCATGGAGGGCATGGGAACCAGCGTGCCCCTGGCTTTGGCACGTAGCACAGTGCAGCAGCCAAGCACAGGCCACCCTCCCATCCAGTCGGCCCCTTTTATTCAAACTGGGGACCTAAACAATAGCTTTCTGGGCTCCACACACAGTACTGTAACAGGAAAACAAGGCCAGCCTGGGCAAAGAGCAGAGTGCCTAAAGGGCCGCATAATTAGCAAGTGGCTTTCACTACTTCTGACGTCAGTGTTTAAGGTCAGGTCTGAGGCTAGGGATTACGGTCTCCTGGTGACTGCTCTGTCAAAGGAAACACAAGACCATCTGTTTTTGAAACTTTTAGTCTGCAAAGTAAATGACAAACTGGGGTTAATACCCTGATCTATCTGGGGCCACCAACTATGGCAGGCAGCCATGATCTTGGGGCAATGAAGGGTAGAGAACCAAAAGTTGAACCTCAAACATAAACAGGTTTGGGAATGCATTAATATTCACAAGTTTCACACACGTGCACGCACACACATCTTGTTTGGAATTAAGGTGACTTGAAACTAGTTTCTTATTATTGTCTTACCAGAAACTGCCAGGCCTCTCAAGTCTCCAAAAGGCCAAAGGACATTCAGGGAGGTCATTACACTTTGCATAGCCCTTTTTTTATTCTTCTTCTCTCTCTCTCTCTCTCTCTCTCTCTCTCTCTCTCTCTCTCTCTCTCTCTCTCTCAATTTGGGTAACTATAGAATTTCCAGAAATCGTTCTGGATAGTCCCAGGACATGGGGATATAATTAACAGTGTTCTACACAGAACACAAGTTATGCAGACCATCACACTTTAATTACTGTCAGAATCCAGCGCTAATGCAATTGGCATCAGGTTTCTTGGGCAGCAAAATGAAGCAGTGGAGCTGGGTCTTACAGATCTGATACTGTGAATGCCCTGTCAAGGCCTGAAGATGCTGCACTGTGATAAATGAATCAGAAGATGCAATTAGGAAGCGGGCTCTTCAAGTTACCCCTGTAATCACTCAGCCAGGTCACGGGGCTTATTCTACCCTGCTGGGCTTTCTGGCTCTGTGGGTTCAATATGGTGGAGGAGAATACCTAAGCCAATCAGGGGCTTCCAACTTGTTGTCTGTATTGTAATTATATCCACGAACCACAAGGCATAGAGGGGTCACATCCTGGTAATGCCACAATAAATTAAACCAAATAGCACACCCTCAAATCCCCCCTCAACCATAATAAAAGCTCTGAAGCTCCCCACAGATGATCCTGATAAACTCCTTGTCAAGGACGGTTCCGCCCACAGCAGTCGGCCTGAGGTTCTCTATACAATGTCTTTGGGAGGGCACTTTGCTGTGTTCACCGAGGACAGCTTGGGCCCAAGGCTCCAGGTAAAATGGATCCAGACAAGGTTCAAAGAAGGACCTGTAACATCAACAGTCACACTGCCCATGGGGCTGGGAAGCTTTCCACTGAGGACAAAGGACAGTTATGAGCAAGCTGCAAGCCAAGAACCCAGGGCCATCAGTTTGCATTGAAACCAAGGTAGACCAGAGATAAAGTAAAAAATCTCAATGTGCACATTTAATTTAGGAATAAAGGCACTTACCAGACAAAGTAACTTACTGCCTTAACTTGGAACGGACTGTCAGCGGGCTTTCGGAATCAGCTACAAGATCTTTAAGGAAGCTGCACTCTGATTTTTAGCCTTAAGATTCTATGTAACTTTTGAAAATGGCGAGAAGTAGCAATCATGAATGCAAATGTATGTTCACATGCACACATGTGAGAGAGGAAATCCAAGCCACTGCTGCCCTGTAACTGATTCCTTTAGTCTCCAATGTGAAAAGGTACAACTACGCAAGACCAGGCAGGCAGCCTCAGCACCTTCCTCGGTTTAGGCCACGACCGAGGCAGACACATCCTCCCGTTTCCTGGCCACTGAGCTGAGATAGCACTATCCTGCACTGCTATGGAACTCACAGCCTTCATCAGATCCCCCAGCTCACAGAGAAGGCCACTGAGGTTCCCGTAAGGCGCCGCTGCACCCGAAATGCTCTGCTCCTTGGCCACATTGAATATAAAGTTAAGTTCTACATTTTCTTTTAGCTTGAGACAGGTTTCTCTGTCTGGCTAACCTGGAACTCACTCTGTAGACCAGGCTGGCCTCCAACTCACAGAGATCCACCTGCCTCTGCCTCCAAGTGCTGGGATTAAAGGCGTGCACCTCCACACCTGGCTCAGATTCCACTTTTAATAGGATTCACATGACTGTTGTGCCAGCACAGACTCCTCTCTGTAACCATGCTGGGTGGCTGAGGTCACAGTGTGCGGTGTCCTGGGCCTTCCACTCTAAACCCTGACACTAGGAATCTGGGATAAAATACCTTTAAGAAGAGGAGATACCGGTGCCTGCAGATTGCACTTGAGACACAAGCCTCCATGACTCTACCCTGCGAACTGGCAGCTGGAGGCCTGCCTGGGCGAACAAGCCCTTTAAGTCCACTGAGGACTTCACCAAAATCTAGGCCTAGGCAGCTTCTTCTGTGGACACTGGCTGATTTCTTATTAGCGCTCTGTACACAGTCAATCTCTTTCATATTTTTTAAGTGGTCTTGCTACGTTGCCCAGGCTGTTTTTAATTACATTTCATTTATTGGGGGTGGTGGACCATGTCATAGCACGTGTGGGGAGGTCAAAGGGCAGGGTGTGGTAGTTGGCTCTCGCCTTCTGCCCTGTGGGCACTGAACTCATGTTGTCTGACTTGACAACAAGCACCTTTACCCACAGAGACATTTTGCCCACCCAATCAAACTGAGAGGAAATCGGCTCAGTTGACTCCCACTTGTGCTTTCTGAGTAGTTGGAACAAGTCAGTAAACCACTGGGCTCAGTTTAGTTTGCTTTACACACACACAAACACTTCCACACCTCTGCTCATTCTTCCTTTGTGTATCTTTCAGGAAAGCAGTTCATTTGAAAGATACTTTTGTCTCAGTCTGTCTTAAATAAGAGGGTCTGCCCTCACTGGGGAAAACATGATTGTTGGGGGGAACTGTCACTAGATATTATGTATTCTTTTTCCTGGGGACACTGGTTCTTACAAAACCCCACTAACCAAGCTAAAGGCAGACACTGACTGGCCAGGCCCTGACCACTGCCTGGAAGTCAGGCCATTAGTACCAAGTCTTTAGGGCTCTTGAAGGAAGTGGAGGCTTCGGTATGCAGAAGCTTCACCCAAAAGAAAACGCACACAAATCCAACTGGTTTTGCTGCTTTAAGCATTTTTCTGAGCTCTCATTTGTTTCTCTCTAATACTCAACTTTATCCTCATGGAGAGCTGTAGGTTCAGTTTCTAAATTTGTATTAACTGGTTTTTCTTCTCCCTTATCTACAAGAGCCCCTGTTTTAAGAACATGTTTGTTTCTCACACTAAAATGAGAAACAGTATTTTTTAAAAGCCTACCTTGCATCCCTGGCCCCTTCAGACCCCGGGGAAGTACATTCTATACAAGCCATAGGTAAGGACGTGGCCTGTCTCTTCTGTAAAATGGGGCAACGTGGGGGAACAGAGCATCAGGAGGTGAACGGAGCGCGCGCACCCCCCCTCCAGGAAAGCCCTAGGGCAGTAGACGTCCCTAACTAATATAAACGGGAAGCATAAAGGCCCCAGCTCTGGCCGCACTTTTTACTTCTGTCACTCTTTGACTGAAGGCAATCTTCTCAGCAGTTCGTTTAAGGGTTTTTCTTGTTGCTAAAGTCCAGCACGTACCAGCAATGACTCTTTTATACAGCACTCCATCTCTCTCAGGCAATTTCTCTTGCTGGAGAGCAGCTTTTCAAAAAGATTCAGCACTGCTTTTTCAAGACTGGGGAGATGCCGAAACCAGAGGCTGACCACAGAGGACATGGGCAGAATGATCTTTCTCCTTTGAGCAAGAAATAAGCAGAAGGTTAAACAGAATAGATTCCTGAAAAGACATCAAAATGAGCAATGTTCAAATGGCAATCACTAATCAAGTGTGTGAGACGTGGTTCTCTCACCATGGTCTTGGCAGCTGTCAATATTGATGCATCTACTTGCAAAATACTATGGCAACCTCTCACCTAAAACTTCAGGAACTCTTAGAAGGTGAAGACTACTTCCCAAAGCATATACAAATACATATCAAAGAAAGGGAAAGAGGAAAAATGAGATGAACGAAATCCCTGTGATGTCCAGGAAATAAGGACGTAAAGTTAAGAGGCAAGTTATGCTTAAAACTGAACTAGATTGAGACCGGAAATAAGTCCATAGTCCTAAGGAAGTTACCTGGCCCTTCATAGCCTCAACTTATCTGTAAAACCAAATTGGCTAGAAGGATCCAATGTAGCAGTGCACATGTAATACACAGACAGCACAGACCACACTGTGAATTCTCAATAAATAAAAATACAAGTCTTAATGGGAGATGGCCCAGTTGGCACATAGTAAATCTTATGTTACAGCCAAATCATGTCATGTAGCTTTAGCTTAGTATTGTCTTTTGTGTGTAGTCTAAGTACATGTGACAATGTGGCATATGTACATGTGTGTATTTCCATGCACGCATGTATGCAGAGGCCAGATCTCCTCTAGTAGGCAGGGTCTATTCCTGAACATACAGTGCATGGTTGGTTTTGTTTTTCCTTTCTTTTGGACAGACAGGCAGCCAGCGAGCACAGCAAGAGCACTCCCCTGCCCACACACACTGTTGGGGCTACAGGCATGTCAGGGGTACTCCCAGGTTTTAATTTGGGGAAGAGCCCTGTCTGAGTGGGGGTACTGCTCAGCAAGAGACTGGCACCCGAGTCTGCTCAATGTTGGAGTAAAGATTCACCCTAGTCTGTATGTGACAAGCTCATAATTATAAACAAATGCCTCCGGCTCTCAAAAGTGTTGTGTTCTAAGTTAAACAGTTGCGACATGTCACAGTCACCTTCTGTGGTCAGCTGGTGTTAATCATCCACGCTACCAGGAGCTAATTGTACTCATTTATCTCATCCACTGTATAGATGCCAACCTCCCCTTCATCTCTCTGGATACCACACTGATATCTGATGCCCACTACCCATGGCTACTGCGGTCATCAGTAAGAGACTCATCCACTATGAGTCTTCTGGTTAAAAACAGCTTCCCACGATCCCTTCTTCGGGTGTGTAACAATTTGGTAGAGCAGGCTCAGAATTTACAACAATGCTCTAACAACAATCAGCAACTCATTCTAAAAGGAACAACCAGGAATGGTAGGATAGAGGACACGGATAAGACATACGGGGGTGGGCTCGGGGTTTCTATGCCGTCTCCAGGTACACCAGTCTTGTGGTGTCTTTGTGTTCACCTGGATGCTTTTCAAGTCCTGTGGCTGAGCTGATGTATGACCAGCCTGGTAATTACGCCCAGTTCTAGTGGTCACACGGCTGGTTGCTCTGCTCTTAGCCCTGATCCTGAAGCTCTCCAGGGGCCCAGAAGACTCACCCCTTAGCCTAAACTTCCATATAATTGGAAAAGGCTCCCTCTCACTCAGGAAATCCCAGAAGTTTTAGACGCCTGGACAGAGACCACACATGTATCTTTTACTCTGTCATAACACAGAAGCCCTGCATCCATCTCTGCTTTAAGCACAGGGAAAGAAATCTCTGCATGCCGTCATCAGGCTCCCCAATGTTCCTGAAGCACTGGATTTGGGTTTAGTTCAGAGAACATGACACACTCAATTACTAACACTCCATAGATTAATGAAAGAGTCTCAGCAGCCTTCCCACCTCTGCAAGATTTTAGGCAGTCTGCAGACCTGGGACAAGACTCCTGGGTATGAATTTTATAAAAAGTTAGGTTCAACATTTAAGTCAAGAAATCAAAAGGTTCCTCTAGGTTATCTAAACCACAAAGGGGAACCAGCATGAGTTGTTCAGAGGAAACAGCCCATTTCTGGAAAATACATGACTGTATTTGGAAGCCAAGGCAAAAGACGCCCAGCCAATTATAAAACACAGGAATTCCACCGTGTGCTGTGGTAAGCAGTTGAGAAGCTGAACATAGGGCAAGGCTGCTTTGGTCAAAGAAAGCTGTGGTTTCTAGCAGGCCACACAGCCCATCTGGGGAACTGTTCAAGCTGGGAGGGGTGCAGGACGTGGAGCAGCAATCTGCACGGCTCACTGAGTCAGCCTCCTTTGTGGACATGTGGCGGACGGGCTCTCCACAGGAAAGGTTCCAGCCACTGTGGCTCTGGGTTGATTCGCTAGTCTGAAGCTGTTGGAACTGGACATGCTGAGGACCACCCAGCATTTCTGGACAGTCTGTCCCTTGTGGATTAGTAGACATAACTTTCCAAACCAAATAAACTGTATTAGTAGCTGAGCGAGAACACTCTATCGTACGTGAAATGAGAGCAAGGGCGGGCAGGCTCTCACCCTGGGCTCTGGGCAGCATGCCTCCCGGTTGGTAATTTCTGAGACTGCTGTTAAGGTTTACAAAAGATGCCAAAGGTGGTCTGCTTTAAGGCTGACATAGAAATGCAGGTGAATTACTATAATCAGATGGAGCTTTCCACTGTGCTGTGCTGTATAAAAGGTGCGAGTTGGTGAGAAAACCATAAGAACCTCAAGGACTCAGCTGAACTGCAGGTGGTGATTACTCAATACCAATGAATAACAAAGGTAACGTAGATTTCTCAAAAGTTGAGACATACTGAGTAAATTATGAAAGAAGGATTGAAGAAGACAGAAGAAAATGACTTCAACTTTTCATGTTTATTTATATGGGTATGTATTTATGAGGGTATAGTGTGTGTGTGTGTGTGTGTGTGTGTGTGTGTGTGTGTGTGTGTGCAGATGCCCACAGAGGCCAGAAGAGGGCATTGTGAGTTGCCAACACGGGTACTTTGAACTTTTGCACTGAACTCAAGTTTTCTGCAAGAGCACTTGTGTGCTCTTAGCCCTGAGCCATCGTGTGTGTGTGTGTGTGTGTGTGTGTGTGTGTGTGTGTGTGTGTGTGTTTTAAGACAGAATCTTGGTAGGTATAGCCCAGGTTGGATTTGATTTGTGGCAATCCTCCTCTCAGTTTCCTGAATGCTAGGATTATAAATGTGAGCTACCACACATAGTTCTTGTTTTAACCTCTTTTGTAAACATTCAACAATTTAACCTTCTCTGAATTATTAGCTTTCATAGAAAATGAAATATGTATTGTATATAAATGTTAAGAGTTATATATGGAAAATGGAAATACTCTACTAGGAACTCTTTCATTTCCCAAATGTAACGAACGGTGCAACAGGACGCCTGCGATGGACGAGAAGACCCACTGATGACAGCCAAGATTTCAAGATACAAGACAGTAACTGGAGTTACAAAAGCCTAAAGGGCACACACAGGCAACACAGCAAATGCTGCTAGATCACAGAGAGAAGGTGAACAGACAGACAGGTGTACTCACAGGTAAACAGGAAGCTGTAACATGCAAAGATGCTGTTCTCTAACCCACACATTTGATGAGGTATCTTTCCAGAGGCCAAATCACTTAGAATTTATATGGAGGATAAAACAAGCAACACACACACACATGCACACACACCATTAAACTACAAAGAAAGAAACATGAGAAGAACTAGAACTATGTTATTATAAACACAGAGAGGCAAGGCAGACCCATCTGCACTCAGGAGCGGAGCAGAAGCTGAGGAAACTCTCAGGCTACACCCTGGTGGGAAGGGACCGGCATCCTTCACCACACCAGAGATGGCCAAATGTTCTGCAACCTCAAAGTGGAGCAGGGAAACCTACCATTTTAACAAGTACTTTGCAAAGCCAACTTACAGCTTGAAAGAAATATAAAGGAACTTATGAACCAAATACAATAGGAAGCTTTGAACTCTGATTCTAACAATAAAAAAAATTACATAACAGAAGAACTTGGGTCCTGATTAGCTATAAGGTGATGAGAAGGAACTAATAACAATTTTCAGTATACATTACATATGGCTTTTAGACTTTTTGCATTTATTTACGTATTATTTAAGTATTTATTGTGTGGAGGCATGGGCAGCCCACAGAACACATGTAGAGGTCAGAGGACAACTTTCAGGAGCAGATTCTGCCTTTCCTTCAGTGGGCTCTGGAGAAGGAACTTTTGTTACCAGGCTCATTGCAAGTGCTCTTACCCCCTAAGTCATCTTCCTGGCCCTAGAGGTCTGTTTTAGAAAAAAAAACAAAAAATGCTTATATGTTTAACAATTCCTGTTTTCTGTCTAAAGCATTTAAATAAAGAATTGAAAGAGATATACCTAATACCCACCAAGTGTGGAAATTAGAACCTTAGAAAGTCTGTGACAACTTTCCAACACTCTGGGACGTGTTAACCAGGATGGCGGTGAGAGCAGCAGCCGATGTCCTCACCGTGCAGTGCAATGTGCAGCACCGGGAGGCGTACATGATAAGGACGGAGATTTTCCAAGTGAGTCACACATCATGATCTGAAATCAAGCATTCCTGCCTTGTGAAGTACCTTGCCAAGTGAGCTACCACCCCTGGCCAGGTCAGTAGATTTTAATGTAACAGATTATAAACATCCTATTAATATAACCTTAGATCCCACACTGCAACTCACTTTTAAAATCATGACCGCTCAAATTTAGGTCAAAGCAAACTCTCCACTCCTATCGCCAAGGCTGCTATGGTAGCACTGCCATTTTAATTATGCCACTGTGTGAGGACAGGCATTTCCATCAGTACATCCCACAGACTGGACCTAGCTTCCCGATGCCAGGCAAAGAGGCTCATAGGACATAAAAACAGCGTTACCTGTCAAACAGATTATCTCTGTCTTATAAAAGATCACTGTTTGGCCGGGCGGTGGTGGCACACACCTTTAATCCCAGCACTTGGGAGGAAGAGGCAGGCAGATCTCTGTGAGTTCGAGGCCAGCCTGGTCTACAAGAGCTAGTTCCAGGTCAGGCTCCAAAGCTACAGAGAAACCCTGTCTCAAAAAAACAAAAAAGACCACTGTTTGTTGTTACTATTGTTACCGTTTCTGATGCTGTGTGCACCTCTCTGCACACCTGCGGAGGCCAGGAGGAGGACAACAGGTAATTGCTCTATCACCCTTCATCTGATTCCCTTGAGATAGGGTCTCTAACTGAACTTGGATCTTCTCTTTAAAGAGTGGTTGACCAACAAGCCCCAGAGATCCACCAATTTCGTCCCACACCCAGTGCTGGACTCCAGTGTGTAAAACCATGTGCAGCTTTTATGTGGCTGATAAGCATCTGGAGTTGTCCTTGCTCAGCACTCGTATCTCCTACGCCATCCCCACAGCCCTTCAGTTCTGTTTCCAAATGCAGTGAATTTCTTTGGAAGTAATATTCTCCCTTCTCTTTCCTCCTTCCCCTCCTTTTGAAGGGCTGAGGATCAAATCTATGTTTCAATGCTGGGTAAGCATTCTGCCTCAGTTCTATAAACATTGACTAAATTCCTGGGTGTGGTTTCGTATATGACAAACATTGGGAAGTATAACCCACATAAAGCTCTTCGGAATCTTCAGTAATTTTTAAGAGCATTGGAGGGGACAGAGAAGACTGGGCTGAAGGAGGGAAAGCTTAAAGGTGCTTGCTGCTAAGCCTGGTGACCTGAGTTCAATCACTGGTACCCAAATGAACTTAACAAGAAACCCAACTCCTATAAGCTGTTCTCAGACCACCACACTAATAATAAATATATAAATAATAAACAATGAAGGGGAACAGAATATTAAATACACTATCATATGTTTTTTCCACACCACAACATTTCACGACTAGAAAAACAAGTTGAGTGATAAGATCGATGGACTCACGACAAGAAGGCTTCATTCACAGCATCGAAGAACTCAGGTGAGAGGACCTCCTGGGGCTCATGCCCATGATAGGTGAGGAGAGCCTCCACCAGGGGTTCGAAGTCAGGCAGAGGAACCAGAGGGACACAAACTTGTGACAGGCACATCATGCGCTCGGGAGCCATCCTACTGGAGAAAAAGGTAAGAAGTGACGGCCAGATCAGAAAATCACATGGAACTGTGGACAAGTTTTCCCCCCTGAAAAGGACAGTGACAGGCCCCCATGCTGGCCAAGCAAGATCTTCTCTAGTACCGTGTGCCAGGTCATCTTCAGCCTCTGTCATTCCCATGTCTGCTGTACGCACAGGAGTGCTTTATCTGTACAGCAATCGCAGACACACATGACCAACGCCCTGTGTCCCCCACAGAACTCCTAAGCGGATGCTGGCCTGCCTGACCAGCAGCCACTGCCACACTGGCTCGGCCCACACACCTCCAGCTGCATGTGAGCAGCCTCCTGGCCACCACCGGCGTCTGTCTCACCCCACTGTGGATCAACACAGACGGTTTGGCACCCTCTCAACTCCACATCACTACACACGGCTCTGCAAAAGTCCTTCCGCACTGAGACAAATAGTCTCCCCTAGAGGGCTAAAGGTCCTTGTGCCCATAGGTAGGCACTGGAGAAACCAGGAATGTCAAACATGCAGGTTTGTCTCTTGTGTGCCTGTTTTCTACCCAAAGGCTGGGAGTAGATGTAGTTAATAACCTGATGGTGACTTTGCTATCTACAGAGCAGGCCTACCCCTGAATCCCCCAGAATTCCTCCCTAAACCTTTAAGAATAGTTACTCAGTAGAACCCATCCTTTGGAGTTTGGTGACCTCTACTTTCTCTGTATGATCAAGACCACACCTAGTCCTCCCCTATCTGCACACAGGACTGAGGCAACTGTTACCACCTAGTCCTCCCCGATCTGCACACAGGACTGAGGCAACTGTTACCACCTAGTCCTCCCCTATTTTTTACCACTGAACTTTTTTTTGCCCCAAAATTGTACTTAAAATGCCCCAAAATAAATAAATGAATAAATAAACTATCCAGTGTCCGATTCTAAAAGTCTGAGCCAACACCAGCTAAGTCATGTTGAACCACATTTCCTTCTTGCTTTACTTGGATCAGTACACTTTTAGCGATGGCGTTTGCAGGGACTCCCCCAACCCCAAGTCTCCTGCTCGGCCTTCTAAGGAAGGGCCTGTTGTCCAACCTGACTGTGAAATACTGCTGGTAGCCTCGAGTCACAGGAGTCTCAAGTGCTGCTTTGTGACGGCTCTCCAGCCACTGTTGTGTGTAACAGCAGTACGACTGTTGTGTGTAACAGTTTAACCCTAGCAGTGACTCCGATGGGCAGTGGCTGCAGCGTTAGCAGAGAACACGCTAGTGAGCGCAGCCACAAGAACCCTCACCTCATCCTTACGTGTTCTCAAGTTCCCACCCCCGCTGCACTGCACAGGAAAGGGCTGGGCCTGGGCTAGCATGCAAGCCTTTTCTGTTTGGATCGGAGCTTACTCTTTACACCAAGTGACTCCCTATACACAGCGTATGCTGAAGAAACAGATAAAATCTAAACTGATAAAATCAAAGGTCTGAGCATACATCACCAGACCCTCACCCATGTGTTTTCATACATAATTTGGTCTTAGAGATTTTAAGCACCAATGTGCCACATACAGTTCTCATGTCCCTTTACATGACATTACATGTGTACCTAGTACTAAACATATTCATACACTGAGAGGCAGACACAGTCTAAGCCCAGGTCACACACCCATGTGTAAGTGTGTTCACGTATTACATTCCTTGCTGGGGGCATATGACCCAACAGTTAAGAGCACTTACTGCTCTTACAGAACATAGGGTTTCTCAGCTGTCTCCAGTCCAAGCTTAAGAAAATCAACTGAATAATTTATCTGTCCCTGAGTTCAGATTTTCAGCTGATTCTCCAGTTAAATAACTTGTTCTTGCCTCATGAGTTAAATTCCTAGGGGGAAGTGCAGGGTTTTAGTATGATAGTTACAACCCACCACTGTCAACCACTCCATGTTAATTCTTCTGACCACATCAGGAGAGACTGTTGGGCAATGTCAGCTGGAACAGCATCCCTTTGTGCCAGGCTGTACCACATAACAGTTTAAAACAATATGGACAAAACCTTAGCCCAGAGCACAGTCCACTAAAGGACATGGTGATGACACCGGGTAGGTGGGATGGTAATCACTGCTAAGTCGTTATTCCTCACAGCAGCAAGTCTATGCAGGACAAAAACGGACGACGCCTGACTCCATGAAGTCCATGGGATGCACGTGCTAGTCACACCCCAGGAACCCTGGCCCACCTCAAGCCTTCCTCACATGTTCCACTGAATTCTGCTTAGCATAGTCTCCCCCCCCCCAAGAATTTTATAATTGAATAAGAATCATTTTTTCCTGGGAACTTTGCAGTGTGTTGAGCCAGTACATAGTTTTTCAAAGGAAATCCAAGCTGTCTATGGAGTTCATTTATTCTTATCAGAAGACTGACTTTAAGAAGTAACTTGATGCCTCACATGCTCTTCAGTCTTTTATGAGCTTTTAAAGTCTTGTTTTTTAATAGCTAAAAACCATGAAATCCTGTTCTCTGTCCATTAAAAATAACTTAGTCCCTTAGAACCTTGGACAAGAGTCAAATGTCATGTGTGGGGTGTCTGTGCAGGTGTCTGCCTTGGTTTCTGGAACAAGGTCTCACTGGGCCCTGGGCTCACTGAATGGACCACGCTGGTCAGTCAGTGAGCCTCAGTGACCTGCTGTCTCCGTCTCCCCAGGATTAGGATTGCGAACATTACCACCACACCCAGGTTTTTACATGAATGCCAGGGATCAAACTCAGATCCTATTCACACAGCAAGCACTTTACCACTAAAGAATTTCCTCGGCCCCAAACTGGGAATTCTTACGGTGTGCTGCCACGTAATCTTTAATGGCGACCCGGCACCTCTGTCCGGAGTGAGAGCCCCGCAAAGACGGCTGCCAGACCTGACGGGGCCATCACAGCTGGGCTACCACGAGGAACACCACCTTCTATAGCTCAAGTTACCTGCCAAGACTTTAGCCGAACAAAGCAGAACCTTGGACTCAGAAACAGCACAGTGGCCTACAAACTTTCTGGTACACACCTGAATCTATAAAATTGCACCCACTTATGAAAACACGCCTGTTATTATTGTTTCTTTCATCAGGTTGACTTCCAAAGTTCAAGCAGCTGAAGGCCCCAAACAAAATCCCAAATGAGCAAGCTGTGCTATTCTTTACTTTGCTTCCACTAAGAGACTCCATTCATTATTAATATTGTAATCACTTGATTAAAGTCATTTCATAAGTTTCAAAATCTTCATAAAACAGACTGACGCCATGAGTTCAGATGCAGAGACGTAAAAAAAAGCTCCAGGGCTTCATTTAGAGGCTGATAAATAGTCATGTGACCAAGAAAAAAGTGTTAACAGTTCAATAACAGATGTTTAAATTCTACCCAGGTCTTTCCTACAAACATGTAGAACGTGTTTCCAAGCAGTTGCCTTAACCGTATCGTCCACTGGCTGCAGACAGCCATACAGGAAGGATGTTTCTGGCATCAAGCCTTCTCAGTTCATTCTGGTGCAGAAGTCCTTTGGAATATTACTTTGGCCATGAATGTAATGTGGTCTGGTGTTGTGGGAATTCATTCAGCCAATAGCCTTTTGGGTAGCAACCTATTAGGGCGTGGTCTGAGGTACTGTGTGTGGACTGATGAGCACAGGTGAAAAGTGAGCTCGTTCTCTGGGGTGCTGGTCAGGGTTCTGTTCGTAGCATCCACAGAGCAAAGGACGGTGGCTCTCTACCCTTATTGTAATTTTTCCCCCAAATAAACATTTGTTATCCTTTATTCCGGGCTCTCATGGACTTCCTCAATTATGCCTACATTCTAGCACCAATGAGTAGTTCTGATAACAGGAATTAGAGAGAACTGGGTGACTACATTGTTAAGACCTGGGGAGAATTCTAACTTACATACCCAGTGAGAGAAAATGAGGGGAAAATAGAAAAGAGAATGAGTAGGGATGCCCATGGTATTCACTTTTATGAATGTCATGAACTCACTTCTTTATACTCATAACTCCTAGAGTTAAAAAAAAAAATTATACTACGTACTGCAAAATGAAGGTTTTTAGTGATCCACACATTGTGAGAAAAGCCTGAACTGACAGGTAAATGGGAACTTGTTTACCAAGAGATATCATACAAAGTAAGAGTGAGTAGGGGCTGAAATCAGGTGCAGGTGGCTATCTGAAGCTAAGACAAGCTGCTAGGTCATCACAGTGCAGTGGCCTGTGGGTGGGGTTTGCATAGATGCTTCCTCCCTATCTACTGTTTCCAAGAAAGAGCAAACTTCCTAAGAGACGGACTAGTCTACATACAGGTGAATGGAAGACAGTATCTGTCTTCGATGGTTGGCTCATTTCACTGTGCAGAGTGTCCTTCAGGTCCACCATGGTAGCGCACTCAACAGGACTTTTCCTTTTTTTAAAGATAACTAAAATTCAGTTGTGGCTATGCCGTGTTTTTATCTAACAAGGTGCACGTAGGTTACTTCTATCTCTTGGCTAGTATGAAAAATTCAACCAGTACAGGTTTGCAAATTATCTTTTAGAGAGGTTTTCAATTCTTCTGACTATATAAGCAGAAGCAGAACTGGTCACACAGTAACTCCATTTACCTGCTGTTTAAGACCAGGTCTCAAGTAGCCAGAGCTGGTCTTGGACGTGCTGAGATTTCAGGCACTCACCACAATACCAGATCCACTTTTTTTTAATGAACCACTATGGCTTTTCCTACAGCAGCTACACCACCCTGCATGCTCACTGACAGTGCACAATGCCACTGCTCCACAGTCCAGCAACACAGCACACTGCCTCCTAACTAGCTTCCCTGCCTTACACTTTTCCTTCCTTTCTTTTCTTTTTCTTTTTTTAATCTTTTTTTTTTTTGAGATGGAGTCTCACTATGTAGCCTTGGCTAGCTTCAAAACTCAAAGATCTGCCTGCCTCTGTCTCCTGAGTGCTGGAATTAAAGGTATAGAACACTACACCCAGTCCCCTTATACTGTTACTTATCTATA